TGTCTCTCACTATACACTCTGCGTGTCTCTCACTATACACTCTGCGTCTCTCACTATATTCTGTGTGTCTCTCACTATACTCTGCGTGTCTCTCACTATACTCTGCGTGTCTCTCACTATACACTCTGTGTCTCTCACTATACACTCTGTGTCTCTCACTATACACTCTGTGTCTCTCACTATACACTCTGTGTCTCTCACTATACACTCTGCGTCTCTCTCACTATACACTCTGTGTGTCTCTCACTATACACTCTGTCTCTCACTATACTCTGCGTGTCTCTCACTGTACTCTGCGTGTCTCTCACTATACACTCTGTATCTCTCACTATACACTCTGCGTCTCTCTCACTATACACTCTGCGTCTTTCACTATACACTCTGCGTCTCTCACTATATGCTCTGTCTCTCACTATACTCTGCGTGTCTCTCACTGTACTCTGCGTATCTCTCACTATACATTCTGTATCTCTCACTATACACTCTGTGTCTCTCTCACTATACTCTGTGTCTCTCACACTATACACTGTATGTGTCTATCATTATACAGTGTCTCTCACACTACACTGCATCTCACACTATACACTTTTTNGTGTCTCTCGCTGTACATTTTGTGTTTCTCTCACTGTGTACATGATTTTGTGTGTCTCTCTCACTGTCTACATGATCCTGTGTGTCCCTCAATGTGTACATGATCCTGTGTGTCTCTCTCACTGTGTACATGATCCTGTGTGTCTCTCTCACTGTGTACATGATCCTGTGTATCTCTCTGTGTACATCACCCTGTGTCTCTCTATACAGTGTGTCTCTCTCACACAAATGTTTCTCTGACACTATACACTGTGTCTCACACACTATATACACTGTGAGTCTCTCATACACTGTATATGCTGACTCACACAATATATACACTGTGTCATACACACTATATATACACTGTGACTCACTCACTATATACTGTCTCTCACTATATACACTGTGACTCTCACTATATACGCTGCGACTCTCACACTATATACGCTGACTCTCTCACTATATACACACACTGTCTCACGCTAATATAAATTGTGTGTCTCTCACCGTGTACATCACTCTGTGACTCTTTCACTCCCTGACTCTGTCACTATGTATACACACAGTGTATGTCTCTCACTATACACTGGTCCTCTCCGGCACCCCATGGTTCTCACACTCTCCGACGCCCTGACTCTTGTCACTATATTACACAGTGTATGTCTCTCTCTATACACCCCGACTCTCACACCTTGACTCACTGTATACTGTGGGTATCTCTCTGCAAACATCACACCGTGATTCACTGTACACACTGACTCTCACACCCTGTATCTCTTTGACTTTGACTGTATACACTGCGTCTCTCAGACCGTGTCTGTCTCTCAGACCATGTCTGTCTCTCAGACCGTGTCTGTCTCTCAGTGACCCTGTCCCTCTCAGTGACCCTGTCCTTCTCAGTGACTCTGTCTCCCTCAGTGACCCTGACACCCTGTGTCCCTGACACCGTGTCCCTGACACCCTGTGTCCCTGACACCCTGTGTCCCTGACACTCTGTGTCCCTGACACTCTGTGAGTTTCTCAGACCCTGTGTCTATGTCCCTCCCCGGGCCTCCCTGTGTGTCTCTCTGTCCCTGTGTGTCTCTCTGTCCCTGTGACTCTCTGTCCCCGTGTCCCTCTGTCCCTGTGTCTCTCTGTCCGTGATTCTGTGTCTCTCTGTCCCTGTGACTCTCTGTCCCTGTGTCTCTCTGTGTCTCTCTGTCCGTGACTTTGTGTCTCTCTGTCCCCGTGACTCTCTGTTCCTGTGTCTCTCTGTCCCTGTGACTCTCTGTCCCTGTCTCTCTCTGTCCCTGTGTCTCTGTCCCTGTGTCTCTGTCCCTGTGTCTCTCTGTCCCCGTGACTCTCTGTTCCTGTGTCTCTCTGTGTCTCTCTGTCCCTGTCTCTCTCTGTCCCTGTGTCTCTGTCCCTGTGTCTCTGTCCCTGTGTCTCTGTCCCTGTGTCTCTCTGTCCCCGTGACTCTCTGTCCCTGTGTCTCTCTGTGTCTCTCTGTCCCTGTGTCTCTCTGTCCCTGTGTCTCTCTGTCCCTGTCTCTCTGTCCCTGTGTCTCTGTCCCTGTGTCTCTCTGTCCCTGTGTCTCTCTGTCCCTGTGTTTCTCTGTCCCTGTGTCTCTCTGTCCCTGTGTTTCTCTGTCCCTGTGTCTCTCTGTCCCTGTGTCTCTCTGTCCCTGTGTCTCTGTCCCTGTGTCTCTCTGTCCCTGTGTCTCTCTGTCCCTGTGTCTCTCTGTCCCTGTCCCTGTGTCTCTCTGTCCCTGTGTCTCTGTCCCTGTGTCTCTCTGTCCCTGTGACTCTCTGTCCCTGTGTCTCTGTCCCTGTGTCACTGTCCCTGTGTCTCTCTGTCCCTGTGTCTCTCTGTCCCTGTCTCTCTGTCCTTGTGTCTCTGTCCCTGTGTCTCCCTGTCTATCTCTGTCCCTGTGTCTCTCTGTCCCTGTGTCTCTCAGACCCTCTCTCTCTCTCCCTGTGTCTCTGTCTCTCTGTGACTCTCTGTGAGTCCCTCTGTCCTTCTCAGTGACTCTGTCTCCCTCAGTGACCCTGACACCCTGTGTCCCTGACACCGTGTCCCTGACACCCTGTGTCCCTGACACCCTGTGTCCCTGACACTCCGTGTCCCTGACACTCTGTGAGTTTCTCAGACCCTGTGTCTATGTCCCTCCCCGGGCCTCCCTGTGTGTCTCTCTGTCCCTGTGTGTCTCTGTCCGTGATTCTGTGTCTCTCTGTCCCTGTGACTCTCTGTCCCTGTGTCTCTGTGTCTCTCTGTCTGTGACTTTGTGTCTCTCTGTCCCCGTGACTCTCTGTCCCTGTGTCTCTCTGTCCCTGTGTCTCTCTGTCCCTGTCTCTCTGTCCCTGTCTCTCTGTCCCTGTCTCTCTGTCTCTCTGTCCCTGTGTCTCTCTGTCCCTGTGTCTCTCTGTCCCTGTCTCTCTGTCCCTGTGTCTCTGTCCCTGTGTCTCCCTGTCTATCTCTGTCCCTGTGTCTCTCTGTCCCTGTGTTTCTCTGTCCCTGTGTCTCTCTGTCCCTGTGTTTCTCTGTCCCTGTGTCTCTCTGTCCCTGTCTCTCTGTCCCTGTGTCTCTCTGTCCCTGTCTCTCTGTCCCTGTGTCTCTCTGTCCCTGTGTCTCTGTCCCTGTGTCTCTGTCCCTGTGTCTCTCTGTCCCTGTCTCTCTGTCCCTGTGTCTCTCTGTCCCTGTGTCTCTCTGTCCCTGTCTCTCTGTCCCTGTGTCTCTGTCCCTGTGTCTCCCTGTCTATCTCTGTCCCTGTGTCTCTCTGTCCCTGTGTCTCTCAGACCCTCTCTCTCTCTCCCTGTGTCTCTGTCTCTCTGTGACTCTCTGTGAGTCCCTCTGTGTCTCTCTCCCCCTCTCTCTCTGTGACTCTCTGTGTCTCTCTCGATGTGACTCTGTGTGTGACTGTGTGTGACTCCGTGTGTGACTCTCGCTGTGACTTCCTGTGTGTGACCCTCTGTGTGTGACTCTCTCCCTGTGTGTGACTCTTGCTGTGACTATCTGTGTGTGACTCCCGCTGTGACTCTCTGTGTGTGACTCCCACTGTGACTCTCTGTGTGTGACTCCCGCTGTGACTCTGTGTGTGTGACTCCCGCTGTGACTCTCTGTGTGTGACTCTCTGTGTGTAACTCCCTGTGTGTGACTCCCTGTGTGTAACTCTCTGTGTGTGACTCCCTGTGTGTGACTCTCTGTGTAACTTCCTGTGTGTGACTCTCTGTGTGTGACTCCGTATGTGACTCTCTGTGTGTGACTCCCTGTGTGTGACTCTCGCTGTGACTATCTGTGTGTGACTCTCGCTGTGACTCTCTGTGTGTGACTCTCTGTGTGTAACTCTCGCTGTGACTATCTGTGTGTGACTCTCGCTGTGACTCTCTGTGTGTGACTCTCGCTGTGACTCTCTGTGTGTAATTCCCGCTGTGACTCCCTGTGTGTGACTCTCTGTGTGTAACTCTGTGTGTGACTCTCTGTGTGTGACTCTCTGTGTGTAACTCTCGCTGTGACTATCTGTGTGTGACTCTCGCTGTGACTCTCTGTGTGTGACTCTCTGTGTAACTTCCTGTGTGACTCTCTGTGTGTGACTCCGTGTGTGACTCTCTGTGTGTGACTCCCTGTGTGTGATTCCCTGTGTGTGACTCTCTGTGTGTGACTCTCTGTGTGTGACTCCCTGTGTGTGACTCTCTGTGACTCTCGCTGTGATTCTCTGTGTGTGACTCTCTGTGTGTGACTCTCTGTGTGTAACTCTCGCTGTGACTATCTGTGTGTGACTCTCGCTGTGACTCTCTGTGTGTGACTCTCTGTGTGTAATTCCCGCTGTGACTCTGTGTGTAATTGCCGCTGTGACTCCCTGTGTGTGACTCTCTGTGTGTAACTCTCGCTGTGACTATGTGTGTGACTCTCTGTGTGTGACTCTCTGTGTGTAACTCCCGCTGTGACTCTGTGTGTAACTCTCGCTGTGATTCTGTGTGTGACTCTGTGTGTAACTCTCGCTGTGACTTTGTGTGTGACTCTCTGTGTGTAACTCTCGCTGTGACTCTCTGTGTGTAATTCGCGCTGTGACTCTGTGTGTGACTCTCTGTGTGTAATTCGCGCTGTGACTCTCTGTGTGTGACTCTCTGTGTGTAATTCGCGCTGTGACTCTCTGTGTGTGACTCTCTGTGTGTAATTCCCGCTGTGACTCTCTTGTGTGTAATTCCCGCTGTGACTCTCTGTGTGTGACTCTCTGTGTGTAATTCGCGCTGTGACTCTCTGTGTGTGACTCTCTGTGTGTAATTCCCGCTGTGACTCTCTGTGTGTGACTCTCTGTGTGTAATTCCCGCTGTGACTCTCTGTGTGTGACTCTCTGTGTGTAATTCGCGCTGTGACTCTCTGTGTGTAATTCGCGCTGTGACTCTCTGGCGCCGCTGTCGGTGACCCTGTGATCCACATCCGGGTCTGTGTGCCGGTAGTTCCACGTGTCGGCGCCTGCGCGGTGAGAGCGGATCCGGCGACATGTTTAAAAGACTCAAACAGAAAATCAGCGAAGAGCAGATCCCGGCCCGCGGGCCGCCCCAGGTACCAGCCCCCGGCACCCGGGCCGGCACCGCCCCACACCGCCGCAGCAGCTCCTCGGCCGCCGTTTGGGAGTAAAGCGCCTTCCCCTCCCCGCTTCCCGGCCCCTCTCACAGGCTCCTCCTGCAGCCCCAGAGGGAGGTCAGAGAGAGAGGATCAGTGAGGGGGGGAGTGAAGCGGGGAGAGGGGAGTGAAGGGGGTAAAGGTGAAGGGGGAGTGACAGGGGAAGGGGGAGAGTGACGGGGGGAGTGACGAGGGAGTGCCGCGGGAGTGACGGGGGGAGTGACGGGGGGAGTGACGGGGGGAGGGGGGAGTGACGGGGAAGGGGGAGTGACGGGGGAGTGACGGGGGGAGTGACGGGGGAGTTCAGGGGGAGTGACGGGGGGAGTGACGGGGGAGTTCAGGGGGAGTGACGGGGGGAGGGGGGAGTGACGGGGGAGTGACGGGGGGAGTGACGGGGGGAGTGACGGGGGAGTGACGGGGAGGGGGGGAGTGATGGGGGGAGTGACGGGGGAGTGACGGGGGAGTGACGGGGGAGTGACGGGGGAGTGACGGGGGAGTGAGGGAGTGACGGGGGAGGGGGGAGTGACGGGGGGAGTGACGGGGGAGTGACGGGGGCAGTGACGGGGGAGTGACGGGGAGTGACGGGGGAGTGACGGGGAGTGACGGGGGAGTGACAGAGGGAGTGACGGGGGAGTGACGGGGGGAGTGACGGGGGGAAGGGGCGAGTGACAGGGAAGGCGGAGAGTGACAGGGTGAAGTGGGGCAGTGACGGGGGGGGGAGCGAGTGAGTGAGTGGAGGGGAGTTGAGTTGAGTGTTCGGGACACAGAGACGAGTCTGAGCAGATTCCAGAGGTGTCAGCCGGGCCCAGTTGGTTGCACTCTTGTCTGGGTCAAAAGATTGAGTTGAAGTCCCATGTCAGGACTTTGAGCTCATGGTCCAGGTTGACATTCCATAGCAATGCTGGGGGATTGCTGTATTGTGAGAGGTGTTAAACTGAGGCTGTGATCACTTACAAAAATGTTACAACTCTTCTTTATTGTTAAAAAAACTGACACTGGACAAGGTTTGAGGATGTTGACCAAAGGCACGGGGGTAGGTTTTCACGTTGCAAGTGTTTTTGAAGGCAGGGCAAAGGGAAAGAGATGAGGGTTCCAGAGATTGGTGTCATTATTGGCTGCAAGGTGGCCATCTGTAAGGGGCTTGAGAAGCTGAGTGGTGAATCGCAAATGTGAGTTGGAGGGTATGATTGGGAAAAGAAGATGGAGGAGATTAGATTGGGTGAGGGCAAGAGCATCAATCTGGTGGGGGACAGGCTATCAGTGTTGAGGGTGGGTGATGCAGGAAAGGTGTAGAGTTTTGGATAATGAGTTTGTGAAGGGTGTTGCTAGAAAGGCGAGCATTGTTTGGTACATGGAGACGTGGCTGATTTGTGTAGGTGGATGACTTACATTTGCCTTGTAATTTGAATGTCATATTGCATGTTGAAAAGTTAGGCTGCACCCATTTCAGATCCTCTGTACATTTTTGTTCAGAGATTTAGACCCTCTGCAACTAAAGCAAAGCAAACTTCAATCCATAATCTGAGTTTGAAGTGTATCTTTAACCACTGTCTGAGTGATCTTTTTGTTGTTTTGGCAAATCACTTGTTTTGTGTTTCAATATTGGAGAATTAGTCTGTTTCTGTGGGGGGGTGAGTCAGTTGGCAAGATGAGTTCAACCTTGCAGTGTTGATTGACAGTAAAGGTGAATGGTATGTAACAGCTGTGAACTGTTCTGATAGTCTTAATGAAGGTAGATAATATGTTTGTGAAGAGATTATTTTTAATAAAAATACAGGGTTGTAATTTTGCCTGTGCAACTTGGAAATTTACTGGAACAGGTTGTCAAATTTTTGAATTGAAGTAGCGTGAGCATTTGAGTTGTTTCTGGTCACACATGACATTAGTCTGAAAATTAAAGAATGCTTCATAGTGTCTGTAAATGTTGAACAGTTGTTTTTTATAGAGAAACCAAAATATTGTAATTGGTTATATTTAGGAATTTTTTCAAAATAAACAGGCCACCTGGCCAGGAAGTTTGTTCACAGACTGTCTGTCTGGAAGGTTTGTCCATTCACTAGGGAACTGAATGTTTTGCTGCTGGATTTGAATTAAGTGGTCTGTTTCTTCAGAATTATAGTTTTTTTTGAAACATGGGTTGTTCATATTGGCTCATGGCCTTAAGATTTTATTAAAATAAAGTCCACCTATAACTTGACAATGACTAACATGCAGAGTTGAAATGATTGTTTGATTACCTAATGTAAATTGAAAGATGGCCACCTTTTACAGTTGTTTCAGCAACACTAATCACACCACAAAAAGAGATTACAAGTCTGTCTATTTGAAAAACTGACAAACTAGTTAGTATTTAGAATGTTACTCCCTATTGTTTGACTTCCTATTCACAGTATTCCTATCTAAAATTTGGGATTAGAATCCAAAATGTCCGAAATGTTTAATTGTTATCCTATAGTGTGGCTGATGAGTTTTGGCATATTCAGGATAAAATGACAAGTGTGTTAATCTACATTGCCCTCTATGACATGTTTACCAGGATTAATTTAAATGTATCCACTGAGTCATCAATGGCCCCTTCTACTTATTCACCAATGATTGCAGAAATGATGATTATAATAAAACAAGATAATGGACGCTGTGACTGATTAACTTAACTCCCTGGTACCTTTTAAATTGTATTGTCAGACCTCTTATTGTGTCTTTCTCCTTTCTGAATGCAGTGAATTATTCAAGCGTATGGTTTCTTAAGTGCTGGTGATACTTCAGTATCAGCATTGATTAGTTGGGCTGATTGGCCTGTTATGGTGTCATATCATTCTATGTAATTTGTGTGAGTCTTCTCTTGACATTAAGTATCAGTAGGTCATTTAAGTGTGATAACTTGATCCTTTTCTCTCCATCACCTATGGGTGTGAATTAGGGATAGCAATACTAGGTAGTTTTCTCTTTCTCTCATTGTCGTCACCCACACTCTTCCAACCCAGTGATGCAAAATCTAATTTAGCGTTTCCAACTGAGACAAGGTATTGCAGCACAAGTCAGACCACATGATATAACATCATACTGCATAATGCTGGACTATGAGTTCATCTTTTGGAGAATGTGTAGTTTTAGGATATTGACTTTAACGGTATCAATACCAAATTATATTTGTATAGCACCTTTCACATCGGGGGGACGTCCTAAGAATCAAATCCAAAAGAGGGGACTAAACTTTATGCCATTGTAAACAGAGGTATGAATTACATGGAACGTTACAATATAAAAAAGGGACAGTTGCCCCAATTAGTTCATGCCAGTTCCACCTATCTCAATGCCCCTCTTTGCTGCCTCTCAATCAAATTGTGTATTAGTTGGTTTGTGCTTTGGCATGCAGGTTAAGAATGTTAATAACAGCAAAATGCTAACCAACAGGAAAAAGCAGTCTTCCCTGGCAGTACATAGCAGCAACCACCACTCCCCCCTCAGAATTTCTGTGAGTCCTTAGGTCCTGGAGCAGGAGGAAATGAATATTTCATGTCAGATCTGATAATTTGGAGATTGATTACCTTGTCCATTCCAAAGGATTTGCCAGTGTCTAGTCTAACTGGTTTGACAAGTAATTAATTATGTATGTCAGATTTGGTATTGAATATGATAAAAGGTGAATTGACATTTAAGAAAAAGTTGGAGATGGAAATAATAATGTATTGAAATAAATTACAGGGAAATGGTGAAATTTGTTGTATGTCTATAGGGTAAAATATTGTTTGTCTGTTGTGCAGTATCAGTAGACTTGTTCTATACATCGTGGTTCCCAGCACCAGAAAGGTTTCTGCACTTGATAACTATGTTGACACTGCTCCACCCATCTGTGTATGCAAGCAAATAGATCTGTAAAGTGCTGAGGACCAGATCAGGTTTGACTGTGACGGCCCTATGATCGAATAGCCTTCTGACACTCGGTGTCCAGACTCGCAGGTAACGAATTATCCATAGGTGAGATATGCAGGACAAAGTTATGCTGTGTAAGTTGCTGTCCTTGGGAGAAATGTGAAAATGAATAGCAACATCACAGGGCAAGATGGGAGGCAAGATGTCCCATTTCGTCACAACCGTGTGGTACAATGACTTAAAATGGGACGTGCCAGCAATGCATTTTGTTCTATTTCTGTGAGGTACAGCTAATGAAAATCTCTTAACTTAATTCATCATACCCCCACCTCCCCCCAGGGATTTGAAATAGCTCTTTTATTCCCATTGTAATATGCCTCAGAATATACTTATCAGTCAAAATATAATTATCTTTTTAGGTTTGGAATCTTATTTTCCTTTGATGTACAGTAGAACCTCACTATTCTGGTCATTCAAGCAATTGAGCGAAAGTGACCTACTTAGTGAGGTGACCAGATTAGTGAAACAGGATTACGTAGGATGAACATAGTGACCTTTAAATTTACATTCAACAACCATACTTTGTAATCTCACTAAAATAAAGGCATTGCACATTTAAACCAGACCTTAGGTTTCATTACTCCCAAAGTTCACATGAGAAGTTAAAATCACACAAAATGTTCACTTCTAGAAGAAATAGTCCAGTGTTGTGTGCCTGGCTGATGAGTTAACCTCCACTGCCTTGGCGTGCAGCTGACCCTCAGCATCAGCCAAAGTCTGCCACACATTGAATCCATGATCAAGGCAAAAGTCCTTCACTTGTCCCAACAAGTTGCTCTTTACAGTTGCTCTTCCTGTTCCTTCTCCTGCGGATTGTATTCTTCGGGGTCCTGGTAGAAAATCCTCCACTAGACGCTCCTTCCCACCACAAACTGAAAGGCTCCCGTTAGGGGGAGCCCTAAAACAACACCAGGTTTGTCCTTGTTAAAAATGCTGTTGGGTGTGCAGCCAGCTGTCATCTCAGGGAGTTTCTCCCTCCAGTTGTCAACATAGCAGGCCAACATTACCCTTTTCACCAGACATGATTGCAAATCCAATGTTGTATCTGGACTTGAAAGGACCAAGCCAGCCATTTGAAGCCTTGAAGCCAGTTTTGCCAAGTGATGCTGCAAAGCTGAGAGCTTTCTCCTGTATTGTAGGGCCAGACACAGGCATGTTGAGGCTACGGGCACGCTGGAGCCACTCCCATGCCCGTTTATCAATGTCCTAATACTGAGAGTTCAAACACATATATTTTCTATCAGACTGGTGATTTTCTTTAAAAACTGTCATGTATTCAGCCTTCCTTTTGAGAATGCATCCAACTTGTGTTCTGACAATGCCATAGATCATAGTTAACTGTATCACTTTTGCCCTCACTGTTCTTGATTAAGTCCACCCTCTCACGTAAGGAAAACTCCTTCCGTGGTGACATGTTCTAGCACTTACCAAGGATTGGCCGCAGGAGCTCAGGTTAGGCCAGTCAATGACCACTGCCCAGTTTACTGAAGCAGACAGCCTTGTAGCATAGACAATGAAAGAGACTGTGGAAATGTGCCTGCAATTGTGAGGTGGCTGGACTACTGAGGTGACCGCAAACTGGGTTTCTATTGTATATTCTGATTGTCCAAAGAATGAATTGAAACCATGTTTATAGTAGCAAGAGGAGCGGAAGCCCGCAAGAGGATTGTGAAGATAGCTAAATGAATACTGATTATATGGTATTTTACAAGTAACTATTTTATAAGGAAAGTCACTTGTCTTCAGTAAGCTAAAAGTGTATGACGTGTCTAAACACAGCAGATTTATAATTTTAGAGAAGGATGTGCAAGTCTTTGTGAAGTGTTGTTTATTTCAATGTGTGACCAGCTTCATTTCATACTGGAACGTGAAAACGTCAATCAAATTAGATTATCAAATACCCGTTTTATACAAATGTTCAGGCACTGAACCATTGAGAACCATGTGTCATTTATGAGGGCATGTCTTGATTGCAATAATCCTGTACTATGTACCAACTAGGTATCAGTAATAAAACAAAGATGCAGATTAATGAACACCAGTTCAAGCTAGTGACAAGGTGGTGAATTGATGAATTGACAATCGTAAGAAATTGGATGTTGTGATATATATTCTAATTCTACAAGTGGAAACATTAAACAGTCATTTTCCGATGCAATTTTTTTTAGATAACCATCACAGTTGGTAAGCCAGTGCCACTCTACCATTATAATATTCTTTTGAATGGGTAGGTTTAGAAAGTGGATGTAATATACTTGAGCATAAATAAGAATGAAATGGGTGGAGATTTATTATCAGATGCAGATTTGGGGTACAGATGATTTACTCTGCTCTGAAACCAGTTTCTTTTCCTTCAGGCCACTTTGAAGTCCACCCCAGTGTCAGCAGAGAACAGACGGCGGACCTCTTCCTTATCTGGGCACCAGGATGAAGGCACCATCACTTCAGACGACAGGGAGGTTAGTTGAAATTCAGAAATGCTAAAGATAAGATGGAAGTCATTACAGAGATTGTTTTATTTTGTCGATACATAGTCTATTTTCTAGTTACAGGAACAAATCAAAGTAAAATATGACTTCTGCCACTGGATTTTTAAGTTCTTCTATGGTAACTTCATCTTCTGTGATGTCTTCACAATAAGATAACTTCTGTGTTTTAATCATTCTTGCTCTCTTTTATAGTAAGGGTTGATTCCATTGGAAGAATGCCACTTGGTGATGTTTCCATGGAGGACTAGTTCACCCAACTTCAATACCTACCTCAGATTAGCCATTTGCTCTATCACAGTTTATATCCTTATTCACATACAAAGATTATTACTACCGCAGGGTCCTGGAGCACTTGATGCAGATTATTATTCAGATCAGAAATGTCATTCATTGTTTGAAACTTCAGAGATTTTTTGGGGGGAGGTTATGGTATGAAATATGCTAAGGTCAGCATGATGACCATGTTTGCGTTGTGTATTCCACGTTTGAAGTTTAACTTCTTTCATTGATTGTAATTGCTTAATACTTCATCTTCTATTAATGTGAGAATCATTAAAAATGTCCATAGGAGTACAAATAATTCCAAGACACAAACCAATGTCTTAACTTGCATTTCCTTTCAGGTTTTGCTGATTTATGAACAAGCAGTGTATCGAAGTCCAAAATGCTGCTGTCGTTGATTTATATTAAGTGTGAGGGAGTGGCTGGCCTAGTGTAATATCAATAGCATTTTTTTTATAAGAGCGATATTAGAATTGATGTCTTTATTTAAGTATTATCTGCTCTGATTGAGATTTTCATTTAAATTGTTGTAATACAATCTATGTAATCTGCAGTCGATCATTCACTTCTCCAAAACATCATCGCATAAAAGCTGCAATCATGGTATGATGATTCTGATCTTTCTTTATATTGTGTTGTGATTTACCTGATTATTTTCATTGGAAAGCCTTTGTTTTTTCATTCTGGCTTAAAAAGGATATTTCCGCTTTTAACACATTGTGTTGCAGGCAGTTGTTTCAGTATTCTTCTGCAACCGCTGATTGTGTATAAGTACACCAAGAATCATAAGTACATTAAACGGATTATGATAATGGTGACAAGCAGAACACCATCCCACCACACTATTTATACTGCGAGCATTTCAAGAAATCAGCCCTCTAATTTACATCTTGTTTTGAAACATTAAGAAATGTTCCTATGATTGACAGCTCATTTTTATTTTCTTCTGCATTTATTGGTGCTCTACACCACATGCTGTTCACCAAATTTGAAAGCAAGCTGTTAGTGCCTCAACTCCCAGTCCCTGCAGAGTTGGCTAATCTCAGTCAGGTTGTCAGTTTAGGGTTAGTGGTCCCTGAATTAGGGATTGGTTAAAATGAACCAGAATTCATGCTCTTGATCACTATCCAGTGACTTCTGTATGTATTGGGTGACAATGGGATTGGGTTTGGCTGTGCTGTGATTTAAGGTCAAATAGCCCATTGACCCACCTGTGCAGTTTAAAATGAACAAAGAATTGATGAGATGTCTGAGGGAACTAGGAGTCGGCTCTTTGAGCAGCAGAGAAATTTGCAAAGAGAACCAGGATTTCTGGATTAGAAGGTTTTGGCTTGGTGGGTGTTGGAGAGAGATTGGCAGAACATATGATTTCTCTGTGGTGCACTAAGTCAGTGATTTTGTATGTTGCACCAAATGGACTTTTATATTAAAGATGTCTGGGGAATTGGTTTCTTGTAATCATACAGTCAGCTGTCATTGCTATATGGTATGCTGCTGAGTTTCAAAGGGTGGCACATAACAAGCCAGTGGTATGAATATCATGGGGACATTTCAATAATTTAAAAATTGTTCATAATCTGTTTTATTGAATTTTATCATACTTGGGCTGTGGTACCGCCTTCCTTTTATCCTTCAATTGTGCATTAATTAGGTTCACTCTCCTGCAGGGAGCTTCTTTCACTTGAGAAAACCTCTTCCTCTTTCCTCCTCCTTTCTCCCCCAATCCCCTCCCACCCACACTCCGATAAACTTCATCAGGCCAATCTGTTCTTTTTCTCTTCTCTTGCCGATAGAATAATTATACTATTGCTCCATTTAAGTTCCATCTGCCTGTTCAGCTGGACGTTACAGATCCCATAGCAATATTTGAAAAAAAGAAAGGAGTATCTCTCTTCCAGTAGCCCAGCCAACAACCCCTACATAAAGGGGATTTAGGTAAACTCTCTGTCCCTTTAGGGAGAGAGTGTATATTTCCCTTTCCAGACACAAGGCAATTGCCATGTGTAGGTGCCAAATATGGATGTTCTTGAGCATGGTGATTGGTTTCTGAAGGTGTTAAACACCAAACTGAGATTAAAAAGGCCAACAGTAGTGGTTTGAAAGGGGTAGTAGAATTAAATTCATGACTATCTTTTAGTTAATTGGGCTCTAACCATAAAAATAGATCCACTTAAATATTTGTATGGAGGATGGGTAGTATTGATGTGCAACCGTCTGAATTTTGCATCTTTTACCTGTATGTTGTTAACACATGTTCAGGTAAGTATTAATTTTAAAATGTAAGGTCTTTGGGTTTCCCTGAAAGGAGCATTCTTACAAAATGTACTACTGCATATTTCTTTTCTACCACCTTAAAAGAAAACTTTTAAGTCAAATACTTCTAACAAAGTCATGTGTTTTTTTACACAGTATTTTGAGTAGAGCATTTGTGAATATTTGCAACCACAGTGTTAAAATTGCAACTTTTTTGGGTAAATCCCACTCCGTGTTGCACTGATTGTTAATTGATAGCCTTTGAAGTACAACAAAATTCCATTTACTTCCATCAGAAGTACTTTCTGATTCCCCTTTAGAAAACAAACTATTCACTGAAATAGTCCACTGATTAGTGTTACACAGTAGACTACCCAGATATGTTCACTTACCTTTACCAGACCGATGGGAGACTTAATACTACCCCATAGAACTCTATTTTAAGTTGTTCTAATACTGTGTCTTTCTTCCATATTATGTGAATTATGGAGATAATCAATTAATCCTTTTTAAATTAACTTTGTATAGGATAATAATGGCTTTCAAATTTGGTTTTGAGGTATAACAACTTGCAATTATGTAGCGCCCTTCGCTACATCTTGGAGTGCTCAGAGATTAGCTGTACATGCAGATTTTTAGTCTTTTTTTGAATTAATTGCAGCAACTGTTCAACTAATCATTCAAGATGTAAGAATTTTGCTTTTTCAAGGATATACATAATGTTTCTTCCCTTTTCCTCCATGTCTTCCACTACCCACACTCCCGAATGATTCAATCAAATGTCGTTCAGTTTTTTTTTCTCTGCACTGCTGCTTGGCACCATCCCATATGAGCTGTGGAAGGCAAGAGGAGCTAATCTTGTTTTACCATTGTGACTCGTTAGGTCTGTGATGTTGCTGATTTGTATTGGAGAGCTGATGGTGCTGTTTTCTTCAGAAATGTAAAATCAATGTGAAATTGCTCTCTCTGTCACCTTGGAGCATTTGGGTGTTTTGGCTCTTGCCAGGTTCAGTATACTTGAACAGAATAGCCTGATTAAATCAGAATATTAAGTGAGCTTTGGAGCAAATTATGCAACCCTGTAATTGCTTCTACATAGTAGGGGTCAGTGTTTTCCCTTCTCTAAACCTATTACACTTCATAATCACAATCAGCATTGTGTTTTTGGATCTTATTCTTCCAGACTTTTGAATTCATTTAGCAAACAAAGCATATGTTCTGAGACTGGGGGTGAAATCAAGGGATTCTTGGTAAAGTATAAGAGAAAATATAAACTGCTTATAACCCCATCTAAGGAATACATTTTGGATGATACATTTGGTGCAAAAATAAAAAATAATTTCCCAACATTGCCTTTCCTCATTGGAAAACCTAATCAGCACACAACACAAAAGTGAATTCCTGAAGCCTTGCCTTTCAATATATATTGACCGCAAAACCTGAAAGCAAGTGCTCTGAATCCTCTCACAACGAGAACATTGATGTAAATCGGTTTTCCATTGTGTCAAAAGTATATGCAACATTTCCTCTTGAGCTTTCTTTATTTTTCTTTGTTCTTCTCCTTGCTTATGAATGCAACAGCTGCTGGCCGGGATGATTGCAGAGCCTGCTTTTCTCTCTGAATATACTATCTTTGCTTTGGAAAGCACCAAACGGCCTAAGCCGCTGAGTGTCAATGTGGTGAGTCCTCCGACCCTCCCAACAATGCCTTTGGCAGGGTAGGAGAAATGTTTAGCAAGTGAAGAAGTTGTGCTACTAGAGGCTTGCTTTCTTACAAAGGCATTTACCCTTTAACCCTGAGTTAATCTAAGGATCTCATTAGACGTTAGCTGAGGCTGGTGTCTCCTTTGGAATACATACACTTGCTTAACTTTACGTATATCCAGCTTTATACTTCGTTTTTTAAAAAAAATATATTCTTAGTTTGCATTTTTCACCTTACAATCATTGCATCTCTCAAAGGAGAAAGCCTCTGCAATAAAATAATGAAATCCTTAGATGTTAATGTACCAAGTTGCTGAAGCTTTGCTGTAATAATTTTAAATATTCAGCTATTGGCTGCTGTGAATAATAACCAACAATGTATGTTTTTGTGAACTAATGCTTAAGAAGCAAAGGTTTACTTCAAGGGATGGTAGTCATTGGCTTGCATCTGTACTGGTGTTGTTTAGAAGTTAAGGTAGACTAAATAGATGAATTGCAGCAAATGGTTTGTTTAATGGATTAATTTGGACTTAATTGCATTTAAACTAGAGTTTTCAACAAATGTTACCAAATTGAGTTCAAATTTGAACAGAATCAGTGAATGGACAAAATATTTTTTGGAATAGATTATCCATTCTCCCTTTGCTGACAAAACTAGTACTCTGCAGCTATATCCATAGTTCCTGGAATGGTAAATCTGAATTCAAATAAATTACCATATACTTTTTCAAATATGCATTCCTATAGGGAAAAAATACAGCAGGGTTTCCAGGGCTGAAATTTCTAGAAAATTGAATCTGTTGTACTTGTTATATACTTCAGATGTACATTATAAATGTACATTATAAATGTACATCTAAACCATTACACTTGAGTTAATAGTGTTTTAAAAGTGTGATGGTAAGTTTTTTTTTGTGTGTTTGTCAATTGTCAGATGTTTCGTATCAGAGAAGAATGCTTGTACTTTTTTGACCCTACCCTAAAAGACTGTCATGACTGTGTGTGGTTGTCTTGTGTTTTTTGAGATGAATAGATCACATTTGCATTAAGATGGAGATGAAAGTAATAATGTTCTTTTACACTGATTCAAGAACATTGACAGAGAGAAAGCAGAAAATGGAAGGGAACAGCGAATAAAACATGAAATTGAGAGAAAGGAAGAGATATCAAAAAGAAATTCATTGAAGATGAAAATAAAAGATGATTGCTCCAGTTTTTGATTGACTGTTTTGGGTGTCCTGTTTTCTTCACCAGTTTTCAAACTCCCTATCTCATGAGGGCTTTTGACTTTTGTCTTCCAAGTAGAGTATTTCCCTGCTTATTATCCAAATAGCTATTATTCATACATGAGCTATTATTCATACAAAAAAAGTTTTTAAAAAAAAGCACAAGCCTTCTTGACATTGAGCATTGGCAAGGTAGTCAATGGTGGGGGGGGGGGGGATTTTTAGCAATCCTAATACTGCCTTTGCCAGATTTCCATACTCCAGGAGGGGTTTGTGGATTGTGGTTAGAAGTGGAATTTCAGGCTGTTTATATCCTTCCACGTAGCCCCTTCCCCAAGCTCAGGAATATTTTGAATTGTTGAGTTTTAGAGTTAATTTAGCTGAAGTTTTCCAAAGGTCATAACATTCATTCCCAGGTGCATAGTTTATTGAAGGACAATATTCTGGATTCCACAGAGATTGCCATGTGCAATAACAGGTGCTATTCACTTGAACAGTCAAGTCTATTCAGGGATGGAAAATAATCTGACATTTTGGTTTGGACCTGACTATCAAAAAGATCAGATCCTTAGGCATTTTTGCCTCAGGAGGGGATTGCCAATTATAATTCTATTCTGACAGTTTTCTACCACACGAGGCCTTCATGTGCATTGACAAGCTGATGGCAAATTGACAAAAATAATTTCTTCATGGGTGCATGATTTGGAATGTGCCTGGAAATGTGAACTGAGAAGAACTCCTTGATATTGAATGGAAAATTATCAGCAAATTTTGCACACCGTTCACACTGCCAACAAAATTGATGCTGCTTCAACAATCCTGACTGGAACATGCTTTTGAGCAGATGTTGGATGAGGAGAGGAATAATCATGCACACAGTCAGTGAACAATCACAATCTTCAATGATTTCTTGTTTTAATTACTTTCAAATAAGAAAATTAAAGGAGGGAAAAGCATTGAGGGATAGAGGTAAATCCGACAGCCAGATGGAAGGGTCACACAGAGATGGAAAGAGGATACCAAGGGGGAAATGAAGAGGGGAAAATACTTTTAAAGATATCTTTAATGATCCTGGACTCTGATGTTTGCATCTCCCTGGCTTTGGATAGTGCCATTACTTATAGAAAATGGAGCAAATTTGCTGCTGTGAATGTTAACAACAACAAGGTTTCATTTATAGAGCGCCTTTCATGTCGGGAGGACGTCCCAAAAGTCACTGTATAAATAAATGTGTATTGTATCTTATCTATCATACTTCCCATTGTTTTCATAACTCACCTTAACCTAGAGATGTGATGCACACTGTAGTTGTAGTTATAAAAACAATGGGAAGTATGATAGCTGAGATACAATACACATTTATTTATACAGTGACTTTTATGTCAGAAGGATGTCTCAAAGACTTTACTAGGTTGGCACCTGAGCCAGTGGGGTGGGAGCTGATGAGACATAAATATCAGATCAAAGCTATTCCACTGCAGCCTCAATCGTTAGAACGTAGCTGTAAAGAGTTGCAATCTTGCAAACTCATAAAATAATTATTTGCAAGGATGTGACATTTACTGATATTAATTTTAAATTGAAAGCAATCTATTTGGGGAAAAATTTTTTTGAAACTAGTGTGTAATGTGTGTTAATTATTTTAGCTCCCCTGTTTAAGGAAATTCTTCGAAAACGTCAATTTTGAAATGTTAGTAGCTGCTTGTCACTTTCAATTAGATGTCTAGTTATAACTTCAGGTGTTTGGGTTTATAATGAATTGACAATTCTAAAAATTAATCTACTAAATCTGAATTCTGCATAATCTATTCTTTGTACTAATCGACTGATGCACAGAGGAAAGGAAACTGAGTGAATAGCAGTGTTCTGTGATCTATTAGTCAATGATATTACAGTATAGAATCCAGGTTAAGTATTGGCTACATTCAATGCAACGTTATTCAGCTGCATCCAAAAGCACTATTTACTTTGATATATTTTTATTTTCAAAGCAAAGTACTCATTACCCCCAAGCAATGCTATAGATGGGTGATGTGCATCCAAGTCTTTACTTGAATGGAATACAATTTTCCATCACCACATTCTCTCTTCTCTCTCTGCCCCGCCCCTTTACTACAAGGAATTCGCCCCCTTATGGTAATTCTGATCTAAAACTTGTCTTCCTGATAGTCTGGTGCCATCTATTAGAGCTCTATCATACATACCTCCTAGTCCTTTATTTAGACGATAAAACAAAACGCTTTCAAGTGCATCACTTAATTTTTAAAAAAATCGATGGAGGTATACACTTAACATGTTAATTTAAACTTTTTTAAAAAAAAAGTAACATGCATATGGAAAGATGTTTTATTGGCATTTGACCTAACCAATTAGTACTTCATAATGCATTTTTAAGATTATTTGCACCATAAGGTAATCACAATTCAAAAGTAACAAGGGTGATTAGATTCTTACATTTGGTTGAATGTGGTCTATGCATTCTGAAAGTTTTTTTCAATGAGTAGAACAAATAAGCTAAAAATAATTGAGTAAATTCTTCTTTCCTACCTAGTACTCAGTTCAGTGATATGCAGGTTTTCTGTTGTCTTTTCCATTAGTTTTATAGCTTTTGTATAACAGTGCCAAAATATGTACACAATATTCCCAAAAGTAGTTTAAGTAAGCTTTTCTCGATGTTCAAAGTTTCCTTTTATGTTCTATGCCTTTGGATATAAAATTAAGGAGTCCGCCTATTTATGGCATGTATTTTCCGACCAAAGTCCCTCTGGTTTTCTGCTCTGTTTAAAACCTTACTACTTAAAAGTGTGTTTCCTTCCCCCATTACCAATATGTGCTGCTTCACAATTTTTTTGCCAGTGAACTGAATACTATCTCCTGCCTTACATAATCTTTGTTACAACCTTGTTACTCCCCAAGCTGAGAACCAAAAATTGTCATGGTTTGATGTAGACCAATGTGTTGAAGAATTAAGATTGCACAGAGTTTTGGTGAATTCTTAAATTCATTCGTAATTTGGAAGCTCTATACCTTGACATAGATGCCCCCAAAATGGTATTTTCTAAGGTTTGTTGAATAGAAAGGAAAATTATTCTGCTCAGCAATAAGCACAGTACATTATAAAGCATCTAATTTCAAATAACAGTTCCTACCTCCATTCTCACACAGGCCAATGATGCAGCAGATATGGAACATATTCCTACAGTTATCATAACATGTACAATAAGTATTGGAAAACCTTTGATCACAAAGTGGTGTGTGTGTATGTATGTTTGTGTGTGTATATGTTGGTCGTCGTGTGATTTATATGGATAATTAACTTTGCCCTAATTCTAAATGTGCTACTGAACTAATCTTCTACTCTGTTCCCTGCTCAAGACTACTGCTGATTTTAACCTGTATTTGTATTAAAAATGTTTGGAGCACATACTATTTCACTGAATGTTTCAAGCAATAGATTACGAGCAGGACTGAAAAAGAAACTCAATTAGTTGAAAATAGATATAAAACCCACAGAAGATGCAGGATTTAACTTGTTGCTACTGAGTCTCCATCGCTGCATAGGAGGATCACAAATGATGGAAAATAGATTTGGAACTTCCAATACCTGTAATCCAGTAGCTTTCAAGAACAGACTCAAAAACTGTTAAATGCTCAGTGCATTACGCCTAACCGAAAGTTAAGAGAATAATTGTGATTTTTTTTAAATGGTGAAAAGTACTTTGAGGGAAATGGGGATGCTACCTGTATTGCTTTTCTTAAAAATATTAGTTTTTTTAATAAAAAGTGTGATTGATTTTATACTTTTTGTTCACAGAATGTACTTAGGACCTCAGAAGAAAATGTATTATCTTCAAAGTTCACAGATGACTTTAACGGTGATGGTTTGGTTACCCCTCAGGTAATTGCTCTTGAGCATGACAATGTCATTAATAATCGTTGCATTTGATATAGTGCCTTATCGCATCTTCAAGATATCTCAAGCACTTCACAGAAAATACTGTAAAGTGTAGTGACTGTATTTTGTGGGCGAAACGCGGCAGCCAGTTGCACACAGCAGTGTTGCACAAACAGTCGTGGAGTGAGTGACCAAATTATTGTTATTTATTTTGAAGAGATCATTACCACCTGAAAGCGATCTGCCAATCGACTAACAATCGGGTTCCTACTTACTGCTAGGTAAACAGAGGAAAAATACCTGAAGCAACATAATGATGTTGCTAATACGTGACTGTCAGCAATAGGGCAAGGCTTTCTGTGGTCAATATATAAACTGATGCTAGCGGGAATTAAAAACCAAAATGCAAAGCTGCAACTTGTAATGACAGCAAGAGAAATAAATATCTTGCTCCTATAATTTTCTGCATGGTCAAACTCTATCTATTCATGTATATTCAAAAACTGAGTGGTGTAGAAATTAATATTAAAATAACTATTTAGAAACACATCTTGGTAAGCAAGCAACAAATACTAAAGGTACTACATGAAGGATAAGCCATTAACCATGGCTAATTTAGTTCGTTGATGCATTTCTTTGTAGTTAAGTATAGGACACCAGTTATTGGCCCACTGAAGTACCTTGTATCCATCCATCCCTCCTCCACTATTCACAAAATTCAACTCATCCAAAACTCCGATGCCCGCATTCTCACCCACACTGAACCCCGATTACCCCAGTCCTTGCCAAACTCCACTGGCTCCCTGTCAGATGAAAAATAATACTGTATTTATGTATGATTTAGTGAGAATACTATTCACAGATACCAGGTTAGATAGTACAGAATGTGACAGGTTTATTTAGAAAACAGCCTGCCTTGAGGGACAATTTGCTGATTGCAGTATACATGGAGTCCTGTAGCTCAGTGGTTAGAGCACTCGCTTTGTAAGCGAGAGACCTGAGTTCAATTCCAGGCAGAGGGCGAAACCTTGGGCAAGTTTCCTTACTCCACACTCCTAATAATAATCCCTCCAAAACCAAAAACAATAATAAATTGGTCATTTTCAATCTACGACTGTTTTTGGGACATTGCTGTGCGCAATTGGCTGCCGCGTTTGCCCACAAATATACAGTCAATTCACTTTACAGTGTGTTCTGTGAAGCGCTTTGGGACGTCCTCCCGATGTGAAAAGCGCTATATCAAATGCAAGGATTATTATTATTATTATTATTATTATTCACAAGGTAGTATGTCAGCTCATATCTTGCAACATTGTTTTGTTTTTAGTTTGCGAAAAGAAATGGTGAAGGGGGGTAAATACTTTTTGCCCTTAACTTGCAATATATTTAAGGTGCAAAGTGAGAACTAGAACTTTTACTCTGCTTACTAGAGCTTTCAGGCCAACAAGAAGCCATTCATCTAATACTGCAATAAGATTTTTTTTATTTAGCACAATATAAAGTCAGTGATGTATTTAGTAATTGTATTTTATCTTACACTTCTAGTGTTTTCTGGTATCAATGCAATATTAAGTCAGTTATTTTAGTAATGCCTACTTTATTTCTAATTTCTACAAATTATTGGTAAGTACGTGCCTTGACATACAAGAAAATCTCAAAGCATTTTGCAGTGGGGGCAGTAGATGACCACTAAGCATGAAATGGGAATACTTTGCTTTTGAAGAAATGTGAACAAAAAAAGCTTTTATGTTTTCATAATGCGGCACAGAATCAATTAAAATGTTATCCTCTCAAATGCCACAATTTTAATTGATTCAACTTGAAAGCAAATTGAAAATATATTGCATTTTTTGGGTTACGCAGCTGAATGTCTACAAGAATGGTGGGGTTTTTTACATTGAGATTATTGCATCGATTATCAAATAAACAAATATGTGACAAAGTAATATTAAAATTCTAGAAAAAGATTATTTCTACTAAAAATGGATAAAACATACTTTCTCACACAAAGCAAGTGCAGGTTTTATAAGTTTAGTGAATCAAATATATCCTTTTTGCTGCTTTTGTGAAACAGTGTGAATGTTTATTAATTATAAATAAGTTTTATTTTTTGCCTCAGAAGCCTGAGGCACAGTCTTTTACACAGAAACTTCAGCTTCGGGTTCCATCCATGGAATCTCTGTTTCGAACATCTGCAAAAGAACTTTTCCGATCTCCTTCCAAAGAAACATTGGTACGAACTGCTTCAAGAGAGTCTCTCAATCGAATAGACACAGATGTTCCTGGCTCTGGTACCACCTTTGATCCATCCTCGGACATAGAAAGTGAGGCAGAAGACTCCAATTTTGAGAGTCTTAGCAAGGATCCATCATCCCATCAGTTCCGTAGGATAGAACGAAGCTTGAACAACTATAGAGGGAAATATTCAGAGGTACGAACTATTAAAATGTATTATTTCCAATTCATTACATCTTTGAAAGGATGTGAAATGCAGTAAATACATAGCTTCAAATAACCTGGGCTTATTCCATAAGCAATATGTTATAAATGGGTTGTTAATTCTCATTGAATAATGGTATAAATTCTAATAATAATAAAACGCCTTATCACGTCTTTAAGATGTCTCAAAGCGCTTCACTAGCGCCTTGGGACGTCCTCCCGACGTGAAAGGCGCTCAATAAATGGAATCTTGTTGTTGTTGTTGTTCACAGAATATACTGTAAAGTGAATTGACTGTATATTTTGTGAGTGAAACGCGGCAGCCAATTGCTGTCCCACAAACAGTCGTGGATTGAGTGACCAAATGTTTATTTATTTTGAAGGAATTATTACCCCCAGAAAAGCGATCCATCAAATTGACTAACAACTGGGTTCCTACGTACTGCTGGGTAAACAGAGGCATTTGGAGTATGGAAACTTGCCCAACATTTCGCCCTGCCCGAGAATTGAACCCAGGTCCTCTCGCTTGCAAGACGAGTGCTCTCACCACAGGACTCCAAATTCAATAATAAAAGACAAGATCTTTAAGCAACAGTTTGCTTATCTCTCTCCATGGCAGCTTTAAGGATGGGGTCACTTTTTGCATTCCAGGCTGCTGCCAATGCCTCTTAACAGATTATCTGATTCTAGATGCACCAAATATGTATCTGTAACCTAACCATTTATTTCCCCCCTGGCCTCTAGTTGATTCATTGCTCAACTGAGCAAAATGGTATTTAAATCGGTGTCATACCCATTTACATGCTGAAACTGGCCTCTACAGATGGCTGGGGTACAGAATCCTGCAGTCAAATAAATGCTGTAATGCAGCATTAAGATCATAGTAGCACACATGCGTGATAATGTGTGATAAAGAGATTTCTACCAATTTATACTGATCTTCATCCAACTTAAGTAGAAAGGTTTGAAATTGAACATCTTCAAAAGGGTTTTCTTTCAGAATAGCCCATTAAACAGATGCTTTTTAGTGGGCTTTATTCTCCAGAGTTATTGCATTTAACATTACATTCATGTTGACAAAACACTTAAAAGTTGTGAAATAATGACATTTCAAAAATACTTTATGTTAATGTTTGGCAGACAATATTCTGTATATGAATATACGAAGGTGCCAATAAGTATAGATTTGAGACACAAATAGCCTCTGGAAGAATATGGAAATACTAAAAGCTATAACAAACCTTGCAACTGTTTGAGGTATAGAAGACCAAAAAACCTGACAAATAAAATTACATACTCTCTCTTCCTCTTAACATGCCACTACCAGTTCCTTGGGCAGTTTAATCCCCATTGAACTGCATTGCGTTTCCTCCATTCGGAATTAACCTTCACTAGTTTGACCATCAAGGACAGGTTTTTGAAACTATTCACCCGTTTTTCCCTGATGATTTTGATGCAGCGTCATCTGTAACACCCCCCCCCACCTCCCTACACACACACACACACACACACACACACACACAGTCTGACAAAGAGCAGCAGGGTCAACTAATAGAGCAACTACTTGGTATACCTCTTGCCCCATAATACAGAATGGTGCTCCATATATTCATTTTACAACAACAACAAAATTAGATTTGTATAATGCCATTTACATATCTTGCACGAGTACTTGAGGAACAAATAATAATTGAAGACTCCTGACATGATGCGGGCTTTGCTGGTTGAAAGCTGAGTGGGGAAAGAGCACAGGCATTGTGCATATAACTAAATTGTAATGATTTTTGTTGAGTTTCTTTTGTGAGCAAATCAATCGCCTTCTAATTTTCTAATCTGACCAACTCCTACCACAATAAATAAAGTCTGCTTACAGGCATCCAACAATCCTGCTCTCTACTAGATATCTGAATTCATAGAATAGTGAATTCACTAAGCAGTCCGAGAAAGGGCATGCTACCTGCATGAAGGGCATTATATAAATGTCAGTTCTTGTTGTTAATGGGGCATGATACTGACCCTCTTATTCCTTCTCTCTCCCCCTCCTCCCTCCCCCTCACTCCTTCTCTCTCCCCCTCACTCCTCTCTGCCCCTTCTCTCTCCCCCTTACTTCTCTCTGTTCTAAGAGGATTGAACTTGTTTTCTTTCATGCCAAGGCACAATGATTTAGTACTTTTATTGCATCTATTTAATTAGTTTCAGATACTCAATAAACTTGTAATAGTTTTTAGTATATTGGCTCACTATGCCAATCCTCTGCTTGCTGGTCTCCCTATCTCTTCCCTACATAGGCTGCACCCTGGACCTCTTGCTCAGGCACTACAAGCCTATCACCCTTGTCATCCCTCAGCTCCACTAGCTTTCCATCAACATATCGAGTTCTGGATCTTTTTTCTCGCATTCCATTCCTCCACGGCCCTTGTGACCTCTTTCAACCCTACAAACCCAATAATTCCCTTTGCTCAGCAAACACTGGCCTGTTCATGGCCCCGGCCCTATTTGCCCCACTATCGACAGGCAGGCTTTCAGCCATTCTCCTGCCACTCTCTGGAACTCTATGCTGGAGTCCCTTGGGCTCACTCCTTCCCTCATTCAGTGCAATCTCAGGAATAATCTTTGACTGCGCTTTCAGTCACCTTTCTCCTCCCAGCTAAGTGTTAGAGCTTTGAGACATCCTCCCAATGTGAAAGGCACTAATAAAAACAAATTGTATTTCATATTGTTGGGTCTCGGTATGCACAAGTTGAATCTGATCACTGATCACCTCACCTCTGTATTATATGTAGGATTCAAATTTTTTCCCTTTTATTATTGGAGAATGTTGGAAGCTATGAAACTGAGGAATGTTAAGTATAATCAAAACCTGGTGTAAATAAATTCTGCTAAATTGTAAAATTGCACATATTTAAGTGCTTACATTTTTGTAAATTAAAGTACAGATGTTTTGACACCATCATGCAAATTCCCTCATAGGCATTTTGTAAATTCATCTATTTTCTTTTTACAGTTAGTCACTGCCTATCGAACTTTGCAGAGAGACAAAGAAAAAATGCAGGTAAATAATAGGCACTTCAAGTGTTTGTACATGTGACATTGCCCTGCTTACACATGTCCAAAAATTTGCACTAATTGTCTCCTCCCGTCTCTTCTGTCTGATCTCTTCAGTCTTCTTAGCCTCTCTCAAATTTTCTGCGCAGATGCACAATCTTGGTGTCCTGGTCGACATCCAGCTTTCCTTTGTCCATCACATCCGGTCCCTCACCAAACCACCTTCCTTCACCCTCGCCCCATTGTACACCTCCGCCCTTATCTTGAACCAAATGCCCCTGAAACACTCATTCATACTTTCTCACATCCCACTTAGACGTTTCCAGTGCACTCCTCACTGGTTTCACTTGCTCCGCTAATCACAAGTTGCAACTCATCAAAATTCCGGCACCTACACCAAACTTTGCATGGCCATCATCCCAGTCCTCACTGGCTCCCAGCAGATTGATTTCAAGGTCCTCACCCTCACCTACAAATCAATCCACTCCTTGATATCCCCTTATCTCTGATCTCCTACCCTCCTCCCAGCCCGACCTCCATCACTTAACAAACTCAAGCTTGCTGCAAGCTCACCTGTTCCTCACCACCATCAGTGGCTGAGCCTTCAGTTCCTAAGCTCCTGACCTCTGGAACTCCTGCTCTAGCACTCTCTCATCTCCTCTCTTTTTGTGTAAGACCCACGACAAATACTACCTCTTTGAACTCGCCCATGGCCACCTGCCGCTAACTCCTTCCCTTACTCAGTGTCTAACTACATTCCTGTGAAGGGCTCCAACACGTACTCAATGTGAAAGCATGATATCAATGCAAGTCGTACCTGTGACGAAAGATGAACAGTTTGTAGTATAAAAGTAATGTTTCTTTTCTTTTTGTTGCATTGTTAGATTCTAGCCATTGGATGTGGCACTGACTAATTTACAACGTATCCCTCTAATGGTCAAGGGTCCTATTTGAAATAAGTTTCGGCACTCTCCATCCAGTTTCTGTTCGGCAGAAAACACTTAATTTGATATTAAATTTAAGAAGTATCTGTCTCTTTCAGAACTCGCTGTCATCACCCCGCTCCTCAAAAAACCTTCCCTAGATCCCTCAAACCCCAACCACTACCGCCCTATTTCTAACCTGCCCTTCCTCGCAAAAATCCTAGAACACGTTGTTGCCAATCAACTTCGCGCACACCTCTCTTCCCACCCCCTCTTCGAACTCCTCCAGTCCGGTTTCCGCCCACACTACAGAGCTTGTGAAAGTCACAAACGACATCCTCTCTATCTGTGACCAGGGCTTCCTCTGCCTCCTTGTCCTCCTGGACCTCTCCGCCGTGTTCGACACAGTCGACCACGCCATCCTCCTCCACCGCTTTTCCTCCGTCATCGACCTCAGTGGGGCCGCACTCGCCTGGTTCGAGTCCTACCTCACAAACTGCCAGCAGTACATCTGCACAAACGGCTTCTCCTCCCGCTCTCACCCGGTTACCTGTGGTGTACCCCAAGGATCCATCCTTGGCCGCCTCTCTTTCTGATCTATATGCTCCCTCTTGCGGATGTCATCTGCAGACATGGGGTACATTTCTACATGTATGCGGACGACACCCAACTCTATTTTTCCACCTCTATTTGCGACCCCCAGTCCCCTGATGTTCTGTCAGCCTGCCTATCAGACCTCGGGCTGGATGAGCGCAAATTTCCTTCAGCTGAACGTTGACAAGACGGAAGCCATACTCTTTGGCACTCATCAACGCCTAAAATCTCACGGTTCTCACCTCCTCCACCTAACGGACCTCCCCCTAAAACTCTCCGAACCCGTACACAACCTAGGCATCAGTTTCATCCCCCAGTTATCCTTCCTCCTCCACATCCGGTCCCTCACCAGCACCGCTTTCTTCCACCTCCGACGCATCACCTGTCTCCGCCAATACCTCTCTCCGAAAGTTGCTGAAACCCTGGTCCATGCCTTTGACACCTCTCGGCTGGACTACTCAAACTCCCTCCTTGTGACCTCCCCTCCACTACCATCCATAAAATCCTGATTATTCAAAACTCTGCCGCCCGCATTCTCACCGGCACCAAACTGTGCTCCCCGATTACCCCAGTCCTTGCCAAACTGCACTGGCTTCCTGTCCCAGAGAGGATCGATTTCAAGATCCTCACCCTTGTCTTCAAATCCTTCCACTCCTCCACACCCCCCTACGTCTCTGATCTCTTTCTTCAAAACAGTGCCCTTTGCCTTCGTTCCTCCAGGTCTGGCCTCCTCCTTGTCCCCCGAGTCCTGCGCTCCACCCTCGGCAGCCGTGCCTTCAGCCACTATGCCCCGAGGCTCTGGAACTCCTTTCCTCACTCCCTTCACCTCGCTTCTTCCTATTTTCAGATCTCTGCTGAAGACCTTTCTTTTCGACCGCACCTTTGGTCACCTTCCTCCCCCTCCCCCTAGCTCGGCCCCGGGATCCGTTACTGTGAAGCGCTCTGAGATGCCGTCCGGCGTGGAGGGCGCTATATAAATCCAAGTTGTTGTTGTTCAGACGTGTTATAGAGACTATCTGCTCTATAGTTCATCTGTACCTTGGGACTTCCTCCCAACATTGTACAGTTGAGCTGCATTATAACACAATATCTTCCCAACCAGCGTTATAATGGGGCGCAACCACTTGTTAGCATGTCCACATCGTGACAGTACCAATCACATGACTAGCGATGTTACTGCGCACATGCACAGAAAATTGATGGCTTCAAGTCATCGGGTTGCTGCTGGCTTGTAATAACCTGATGGCCAACATCAGCCATTGTTTAGTCCTCGGGGATGAAGCCGGTGTGAGAAGCCGACCTTGGGTTCACAGTGAACCTGCATTACAAATGGACCCTTGTTATAATAGAGCTCTACTGAAGAATATTTTGGAAATCTTGCAACACATTCACCTGTGTCCATTTTAGCTCGGTGAGAAATGCTTATGAAAATGTTCAGCTGAAATGTTGTGGTAGTTTAACATTCAAATCAATGGACTTTATTCTGGTGTAGCCATGCAAGCCTGAAAGAATGATAAAGCTTCAGTACATAGTTTTCAGAATATTTGCACTCATTTAGTTACTGTTTTTACAAATCCGTTGTAAGTTAGTCGTGCGTGATGCAAGTCATTTACGCTCTGATGATTTGTCTGTCATAACACATGCATTGTTGTTTGTGAAACTTCTAAAATAGTGATGAAAGTATTGTTTTCCAAAGGTAAGGGTGATTCAGCAACATCATTTTAAATATTGTAATGATATTTTCAGAAGCAATAATTGTAGTAATTTACTTCACCAATTGCTGCAGGAATCTTTAAGTGGAATAGGAAAAGTAAAGATCGCTGTGAAATCAAAATGGAGAAATTCTATTGTGGCTGATCTTCAAACAGTACCTCTTCAGATATGTGACTGCTGCATGCTGTAACACTAAGCTATCTGCAAGTGGGGTATATTGTAATACTAAACTATTTTCTATCACTGCTTTTAGGCAATTTTGAGTCAAGCTCAAGACAAATCTCTTCGTAGAATTGGAGAACTTCGTGAGGTAAGGCTCTGCTTGCACATTTTTGAAATAGAGCTGTTGCTTTTGCATGTTTTGCTGCTAGAACAATACAGATCAGATGGTGACTAAATATTGAATCTTCAAAGGTTTTACTCTTTTTAATTTTATCTGTTCCTAAATTTGATGTTAAAGTTGCTGATTATTATATGAAAAATATGGATTCCATTTTAGATGATCTGAGCAAATAATTTTTTAACCTCTTGAAAGTTGCTGCAGAGTATCTCGTGCTTGCAGTTGGCATGTAATATATGTGCACATTGGGATAGTATTTTTTGGAGGGGCAGAAGCTTTTGGTGTTTTACACCCACGGTATTTTCAGTAGTTAATGCTCCTAATGTATATTAAGGTAATTCAAAGTTTGATTAACATCTAACATGTTTGTAATTTACACTATGGATTTTAAATGTATTTGTCGTTGTGTTGGAGTTGAACAGAATATGAACCTATTTGGTACATGCATGTGTTTGGAATGTACCTGGTATTCTCGTTTTGCCTGTAATATTGAGGTCATTGGTCACTATTGACAGGAAATGGTGTCTTTTAAGTTGACAACTTTGCTGCACACAAAAACAGTTTATCTCAGGCTTGCTTTAAGACTGGCATGAAGTTATCTGACAGAAATAGCCCTGCAAAGCTGTCAGCCTGCACCCTAAACAACACTCTATGTAGCTCGTAAAAAAAAATTGTGCATCAAAGACTTTTCAAATTTAAGCTACATATTCACTAAATGAGAGTAAAACTTAATTGTTAATGTTTTTATGTGAATCGCATTTGCTGAAGGAAACAAAACTTAATGTGGAAACATGAGGCTCCGCAGCATACTAATGTGGATGAAGTAGTAACTTGAGATGTTTTGTCTTTCTTTATCTGCTGAGCAGTGATGCATAATATATGAAAAGGACATGCAGTTCAATGTTATAATGGGTGGTGGGGGGAGGGAGAAAGGATGACAATAAGTAGGACAAGATCAATTGAGTTTTGCTAATCCAAAGAGATATTTGCTACTGGGAAAATTTTAATGTAGGTTTTACGTAGCCTTTTCCTACATAAGAACGTCATATTATTTTTAGTTAATCTCATTCTGCAAAGCACTTCAGGATGATTATTTTACATGAGATGTGCTATAAGTTGTAATTTTTTTATTGAAGATTTCTCTTAATATATCAATGTAACCACACCACTGTCATCTGACTGAAGTACGAAATAAAGATAAAGCTGAGAGTGCATCTTTGTCCTACTATTTTTGAATGCAAATCCCAATTCTATGGAAGTTTGTGGAGGAATTATTTGGACAAAACCTAGTGTTTGAATTCATCCAAGTTGTAACAAAAAGCTTCATAGTCTGAACATGGGGAAGGAAGAAGGGAGCTTGACATACATCAAATTACTAGGTTTGAATGTAAATGTTCGCTGTCAAATATTTCTACAAGAAAAGAACTTTTATTGTTGCAGTTCAAAAGCCATTCAATAAATGTATTTTAAGACATGCATGCCCACAATGTAAATGAGAAAACTTGATAAACTAGAACCGTATCCTTGTGCGTTTTTTCATGTACTGTGCTTTTTACCAAATGGAACACAATTCTTGATAATGTAATACGCATGGACTCCAGCTATACAAAGCTGAATATCCAGGTATAAAGTTCCAGAGCTGGAATGTCTCACATTTCACAATTAAACAGTGTGGCAGTTTGGAAAGATACTCTGGAGTACCTTCCTCTATATATGAAGGCTGGCAGACATCTGCAAAAGGCAAGGATTCAGCTTTCTTATGTTCTGAAAGTCCCCGTGTATGACTCAGTGCAATTATCCATTAAGAAGTCACTAGTCTTCCTTTTTAAGGTATTTTTTCCCCTTTTCTTCATCTTGCAATTTACCTTTCCCAGCAGAGAGCATAATTGTAAACGGCTCCTAATGCTTTGAAATTGTCTGAAATGAAACTTAACCTATTATTTTCAATCTTTGTGCCAGTAGCAATGAATGCAACAGTGGTGGATAGCTGGCTATAGTAGTGTCCTATCATCTATGCCATAGCTTAGAAGGAACTTAAATTTGCTCCCAATGCTGTGTTTTCCTTTTGTTCCTGCATGAAGACATTTAACAATGTCTAATGGAAATTATTTGAATTCTCTCTTACCCTGATTACCCCTCTCCCCCACCACCACCCACATGGCTGAGGACTGGACTTGGGTGGAGTAAGTGGGAGCGGGAGCTCAATATATTTCTGCACTTGATGACAAATTACATTTGCGTTATTTGATGACCCTATATGTCTGTATTCCAGTGTGTTATGGTCTGTACTGATCAGACCATAACCTCAGGTGTCTCTGTTATAAATGTCAAGAGGTGAAATGACTGAGTTATAATTTATTATTTTTTATTGAAGTTCTTGTTAAAACTAGCTCTTGTTGTATCTTCATGATGTTTTTCTGTTCAACACCTAGGAACTGCAAATGGATCAGCAAGCAAAGAAACATATTCAGGAGGAGTTTGAGGCAGCCCTGGAGGAGAAAGACCAACTAATTGGTGTCCTACAGACCCAGGTAATGAAAGAAAAAAGGAAACATTTACACTTTGATAAAATATCAGATGCTGGACAAATGCTAAAGCAAATAATCTTGGTATTTGATAAGTGATCAGTAAGGCAGCTTCACTGTTGTGGGCATAAAATGACTGGGTCCAATTTAAAATCTATCATTTTAATCTCCCTCCGACTCTTGATTTCCCCTGCACCTGCCTTGGAATCATAGGGAATAATTATTTGATAAGCACTAACGTAATCAGGCAAAACTGGAAGTGGTCAAATCATAGAATGCTCACAGCATAGGAGGCCATTCAGCCCATTAATCTATGTTGGTGATGGTAGTGTAAAGTGTATTGGCTGTATATTTTGTGGGTGAAATTGCAAATACTTAATATTTGAAAAATGGCTTTTGTAATCTTCATAAGGAAATTTAATATGATAACTACTGGTAATTTTTATTTATTTTCACAGGTTTTATTACTAAAACGAAGGATGGTCCTTGGGGAGACTAATGCCGAACCAGAATCTACAGCTCAGTCCACTGAAAACGAAACAACTGAGACAGATCAACAGAGTCCTAGCCATGGGGAGAACAGTGCCGATGGGTCAGGAGGTAATGTTCTATAAGGCAATGGAGAACTGAAATAAAGAACATTACTGAAATAAAGATCAAAGCGTTATTAATGTAACGTATCAGTGCTTCAAGGAAAGGATTTTGCTGAAATATAAATGTTAATTAAATTCATGACCACCCCTGGCGAAGTTCAATGCTGAATGGGGTCTTGTACTGCATACTTGCTTTACTGAACGTTACGAGAGTTGGGCATAGAGGTTGAAATGCCGGTGCTCATTCAGAATCCTGGGATTCCAGGATTTTAATGCCCCAGATCCTGGGATCCCAAATCTTACCTTGTCCAGAATGCCTGCAGTCATTCTCTGCACTAGTGCTGTACCTCAGAGAGAATGTCCCCCTTGTGGGGAGGGGGCCCAGGAGTTTAAACATCTGACAGTCCGCTCCCGCCAGTTCATCTTCCCTTGTGGCAACGTGTGGCCCAGGCTCGGCCTTTATAAAATCTCAACATCTCAGGATTCTCTTCAATGAGTTACCATACAGGATCCTGGGATCGGGATTCCTGGGATCTCAACCTCTAGCTTGGGTGGCTCTGGATAAGCCTGGGACCAGACCAGTATACCCATACTGTAAGATAATAATCATAATCCTTCCATTTATTCTTGCATTTAAGATCAATGATGTTGCTTCAGAGCAGCCTAGAATTGGAGAACATGGATCTCAGCTAATGCTTAAAACATGCAAGGATTTGTCACAATATTTAAACTGCGCTTGTTTGACTATTTTCTTTAATGTTTATAGGCAATAGTTTGAATCAGAATGGACTTTCCCTTTTAATGTTTAGGAGCAAACAATTAAATCTGTTGGGGCAATGCAGTGGGACGTGGGCAGTTATAATAACAAAAATATTACTTTAATTTGACACAGCGCCTTATCACTTCATTGAGTCGTCTGAAAGCACTCCACAGGATATATTGTAAAATCGTGTGACTGTGTATTTTGGTGGCAAAATATTTTTTGACTCTAAAATCTGCCTTACACTGAGCTGTCATCTAAGGTGCTATGATTCCTGAGTCAGATGCTTCTCAAAGTGAAGGATGGAGAATCCTACGGCTACTTTCATCTTTTAATAGCTAGTTTCAGAGCCACATTGGTGAACGTCTGAGAACAGGTCACAGATGTATCTTATTGGCCTTAAAATTGGAAAATTGAAGCAAAGAAAAAAAACTTTTTTTTAAATAAAAGCTCACATCAGTGGGGGTAATTGATCAAATGTAGGCGCAAGGTTTATATTGTAACTTAACTGAAATTCCTAGATGATGTTTTATTCTATTCATATAGTAACAAGTCTGTTCAATCGCGTTTTTCAAGTGCCATAAGTTTTTTTGCATTAATTGTAGTTCATGCTGTATTGTATCTTTGTGATATATTTAACATTGTAGGTTATTTTAGGTTTGTTTCATTTCACAAGCCTTTTTTTCTAGCCTCGATGTAGTTCTAATTTTAATCTACAATATCTGTACAAAACTAACATTTTTCCAAAACTTGCAATGGAGTTTGGGTTTTCTTTGGAGATGCATACATTTAACGTTTTGTCCTGTAGAGGGAGCTGCAGATTTTGCTAAAACAACAGATGTTCTTGAAAAGCGAGTGAAGAGACAGGAAAATCTTCTCCAGCGATGCAAAGAAATGATTCGTACCCATAAGGAACGCTGCAGCCAACTAACCAGTGAGAAAGAAGCCCTACAAGAGCAACTTGAGGAACGATACCAAGAATTGGAGAAAATAAAGGTCAGTAAAAACTTCACAGCTGCTTTGATGTATAACAACAACTTGCATTTACATTGCGCCCTTTACACAGGAAACAGTCTTGGAGCACAGCATAGTGGTGGGGTTGGACCTCAGTAAGAGAGAAGTTGGAGGAGGTGACGCAGGGTGGTCCAGTGATTAGGGATGCAGTGCTTGTAGACATGGCCACCAATGGGACCAGGGGACGGGCAACAGACCTATGATAGCTGATAGCGAAGAGAGCAGGCTACCAGCCTTTCGTGCAATCTTGCTGGTCCTAAAACGTTGCACTAATTGCTAATGTAGTGGGCATTCTGTTCTATACCCCTTGGGTTGATCCCCTTATAGCTGGCAGGAACATCAAAAATGCACATATGGACTGTAACTGAATCGTTTGATTTTCCTAAGGGGGTGAATATACTGTAATATGATAATGTCAGATGGAATGTGTCATTACAGTCTGTTTTCTTTAGAATCTGCATACTGGTGAAAAGACTAAATTGATCACTCAGCTGAGAGATGCAAAGAATTTAATTGAACAGCTGGAGCAAGATAAGGTGAGTAGTTTTTCAGGGAGGTGAGTACTTGTGCTTGGTCAGTCACTGGAGAGCAACAGGATTGACTACACAATGGAGAGTGTGGACTGGTGCATGCTGTGCCATGTAAATTCTCTTCTGCATATTGACCTCATTTGTCTTTATTTTGCAATTAATTACACAAAGTTATCTGCCTAGTTTTACCAGCATATTTCACAGCATTGGTACCATATTGTGTACACTTATTGTTAATTATGGGTTTGCAGTAAAAGACATTTGTTTTGAAAAGCGCAGTAACATTAACTGGAATTGCATTAGAGGTGGTAAATGTAACTGAGCAGAAATGATTGATTTCAGGGTATGGTGATCGCCGAGACAAAGCGGCAGATGCATGAAACATTGGAACTGAAAGAGGACGAAATCTCTCAGCTTCGTGGACGGATGCAGCAGTTATCTGGACAACGTGATGATTTCCTAGAACAGAAGGAGAAATCTGACAAAGCCAGTAAGCAATTCTCTACACTATTGGTTTTGTTTCTCTCCCCCTCTGGTATTTTCAGTGAACATGATTCCAAAGAAATACTTGCAGCTATACCTGACTGGTAAAAGAAAAACTGTCATGTCCTTTGCAGTCAAGATGCCTTGTCAACTAATTCTAACAAAAGACACTCATTGAAACTAACAGACAAATAATTAATTAAAAATTTGAATTTAGATTGTTAGTTTCCCTTTTTATGAACTACTGTTGTATTCATCACTGTTGCATGCTTTAATTCAAAATGGGATTTGTGATGTCACAAAGTTCACAAATGTGCAATAATTGCTTTGGATCAAATGAGCATCATTTACCATTAGACACAACGCCAATATATATTTTAAACTTACTGTTAAAGTTGGCAGAGTCCTGTATTCCCAGAAACATTCATGTAATCTGATTGTGTGATCTTTACTGATGCTCATTTTTGATATTCAATGACCTGCTTTGCAGTCACTTTTTTCCTTGACGTTTTTATGCAAACCATTGTGGGGGAAGTGATTATATTAATGCAGTTACAGGTAGCAGGGATTTTGAAGTTTCAAAGACTAGCCTAGAATTGGACTGGAATGAGATTCTAGATCAGTGCTACACCTTTTGCACTGAACACTGACTGTTATGTGGGTAAGGTGAGAATTGGAACATGCTGATTGCATTTGGAATCAATTATGTGCTTGATAAATATTCATTGTGATATCTGTTCAATTGATGGAAAATTTGGAGCAGGTTCAAATTTGATAAGTTTGATAAATAAGTGATAAAGTAGTAAGGGACTAGTCCACTCATCCAGTTGTAGCTTCCATAAGGAATCGAAAACTAGTCAATTTTAGTCCTTTGTACACAAAATATTATCACATCACATTTCTTCATTTGTGAACTGACCTTTATTTTCCAAATCTTATTTCCCAAAGTTAACTTTCAATTGGATGGCTATGTAATATACTTCATCACAGAAATAATGTGCTATTCGCTCAGTTCGTGTATCTCTGATTTACATGTCAACATCCAGGAAACACCAATGTTAAAGCCACTCTAATATATCAATAGTAACTCAATGTCTGTTTGTAGCAAGCTATCATCTGGTCTGTTTTCATAGCTTGCTACATGGTAGTTCTTAGTGCAATTTCACTGCTTGGCCATTAGTAGATCATTCATCTCATGGCTGTCTATGGGATCTTGCTGGTGCAAACAATTGCCATGTTTGCCTGCAAAACTCTTACTATACTTGGCAATAATTTCTTGTGAAACGCTTTAAGACTTTTCAACATAAGGTGCTGTAATAATGCAAGTTTTCTTTCTCTCGCATTCAGACTGTTCTGACTAATGCACAGCTGTTACATCTTTTAACTACATTTTTATTCACCAAATTTGAGACCGTAGACATTTCATTCTATCAGTAGTTTTGTGCATTTGTGATGTTTCTGTGGTGTGTAATTTCCTTACATCCACATCATTGGGAGAGAGAAAGGTTCAGAAGTAATTTTTATTGAAGTTTAAAAATTGCACAATTTGATCATTTTCGTTTGAATAAACGTTTCCCAGGGAGGTTATTTAATATTTACCACAGCTAATTAAATTCCCATTTTAAAACTTCACATTTTATGCACCACATATGTATATACCAACTCTACAGTTCAACAAACCATTTGATTTGTTAAAGGTGTTTGACCAAAGCAAACATTGTCAAAGGTTTTGTTCCAGATTTCTAGATATTGGTAGTTGTAACAAAAATGTTGGAAGTATAGAAAAAGCAAATATTTAGAAGTAATTCTTGTTTAAGATAGTTAGATGGATAAATGGGCAGATAGATGTACAAAGTTATTTTTTCTTAACTTACAACATAAAAGATACTACTAGATTTCTACTTAGCTTTGAGCTTCATTGCGCAGAAATCTTACACGGCATTTTATTTCTGTACATCCACGCATGCCAATAAGTGAATCATGGTGCCTTTCCCAAGCCTTGTATGAACAGGACTGGGGTAAGGGCTTTTCTTTATTACACTCCATGGTACTTGCACTGCACTCAAGAGTAAATCCTATGCTTCTCAGGCAATTGCTTCAGATTTCTGTATATTTGGTTCTAACAATTCCTTCATTGGAAATTCCAATTCTCTGAAATAATTGAAAATATGACTTTCAAATGGGATGATCAGTCAGATAAATAATATTGGTAAGATTTTATCTGTTTAGCTATGGGCAATGTATTTGTGTCTGACTCATGGTCCAGGTTTAAAACCTAGGCAGAGTTTTAGATGTTTTTAAAGTGAAACATTTGCATTATTACTGTGTACACAAAGGGTGATATATTCTACAAATCTAAGTTCAGTCCTTATTTTCATTTATATAGAATTATTCTAAAACTACAAGACCTTAAGCAGTAACTTAAAATGTTGCAGCAAGGTGATGTTTTACTGTATTTGCTCATTGAGTGCCTCCAGTGGAAGAAATGTGGACCTGCAACATTCCAGTAATAGTTAAACCCAAGTAAAATGGTGTACATGAACATTTTACTACTTTCCAATGGTGGTCCAGTATGTCTATTTAATGCTAAGCATAAAATATCAAACAAAATATCCAGATATGTTTAAAATGTAAACCTATGGAGTCTATCAAAGATCGCTATATTTTGAAATTCTAGAGAAGACTGCTGACAAAAAAGCAACATCAAATTACCCATTAATACCTATAAGTGCGCATAAGGCAGAATTATAGATTAATTTGTTTATGTGTAATTTCTTTACACAACAATAGCAGCAGGAATATTTCATGACAAACCACACAAAAATATGATTGATCAACTCCTCTGCCTCCCTATCTTTTCTTCTCCCTCACCCCCAATTATGCTTTAAATTTTACAAACTTTAAGGTTTATTGGAAAGTACTTGCCTGAAAAGTGCCAAATATCATTTGTATGTAGACTTGACGTTATACCAAATCTCTACCAAAACCAACATACTATCAGGTTCAATCTAACCGATGACACCACAAGGCACATCGGAATTCAATACACATTTCACTGCTCCAGAAGACATTCAAACTGCCTGGAAAGAGTGCAACTTGTCACGGTGGTCGGTGTACATTAGCTAGTTGGATGCAGATGTTTGAAAGCAATGGAGGAGACATGATGGCACTTTGCTAACTAAAACTCCATGTAGAGGAACATTTTTCTAAATGTTGGTCATTTTAACAGAATTATATTATAATTATATATAATTATATTATAGAGCAGATTGATCCTTTAACAGAGTAATTTACTCACTTATGCAACACAAGTAATTGCTGTAAAGGCAGATCTATAATCCAATGAAAAAGATTTTTATGTGCTTTGAAATTGTATTGTTTTATCATGCAGAAAATTCCTGTGACTGAATTATTTTTAATTAATAAATAACTAGACCCAGTATAATAATAATATGCCCCAGTATTTCAGGGAAAAAAAGCCTAACTGTATAGGAGCAAAATTGCCTGAGATTCATAGTTTTTAACTTTATGTGATTTTATATGTTTGGAATTTAGTCATTGTTGCTTGCTTTGTTTCATAGATAAATGCTGCTTTTATCATAAAGAAAGCTAAAATCCAGCTCGTCTGTCAGTGGCCGTTATGCAATAAAGTTATGTCTTCTGCATGTTGAGCTTAATTGCCTTTTAGTATTGTAAATGACTTTAGAGGAGATGGATCTAGGATGCTACAAGAGCTCGTCACCTTGCTTATAGATATGGGAAAATATCACCTACGCCTAAAATGTAATCTGAGTATTTGTCTTAATTCCATTGCTCTCTTTACTTTGCAAATTTAGAAACCAAATTTAACTAAGAATGCAAATTATATCTGCCAGTTTTATATTGTAAATTCAAGGTAGTAATTTTATACTAGCATCCACCCCTTATAGGGGTCAAGTTCATGACTGTATGTAAGAGCTCTTGATTGGATACCTTGGATGATTTATGAACTCCATACAGTATTTGGGAAGCAGTCCCAATGTAATTACTACATTGAATGCAATATGCTGAGGAAATAATTCCAAAAGGAAATCACGGTATTTTGGGCTTGCATGGCACTTCTAGTGGCACTTAATGTTGGTGGAAGATGGTATGCAATATGTCAGCTTTTGAAATGGACCTTTAAGGTTTCAGGAAATGTACTGACAGATTATAATTACTGGATAAATTAAATATGTTTTGATAATTTTTGATTTATATCAAACTTTTAAAAAAACTACAGGGAAAATCATTGTTTCACAAATTTGGATTGAAAACCATTCAAAATTGACTTTTGTGCAATTTTAAAAAAAATCTTATTTTGTTGAAACTTTTGGCTAAGCCTCATGTTTTTGGCAAAGCCCTCTGGATAATAAGTTCCTTTTTAGATCTCTGAATTGTTCCCCAACCCTCCCGATAATGCCCAAATTTATCTTTTTTCTTTTGAAGAATAAAATATTGGATTCTATTAGGACTTTGTTAATGGTTTTCTAAGCAGAACAGAGCTGGCAAAGAAAATTATTTTCAAGCCAGAATGGGAAAAGGGCACTGAGGTGAAATTCAATAAACATTTAGAAAGCCAGAATGATAAATGGTATTTGAATCTTTAATTTCCCAATTTAACAATAGTATTGGCATCAGGCGTGTTTACTGCTCCTGTGGAATCCACCATTAAATAGATGACTTGTTTTGCTACAGATTGATACAGATTGAAATTGTTTCAATGTGATTGTGAAGATTGGGCATTTTAAATATTTGTAGTCTTGTAACCAGCTACAGCTTTATGGGAGTTGGCCATTCACTTTTCATATACCTAATATATTAATACAATTCCAGATCATCAGTCAAATTTTGTAGTTTTCTAAATAGATGTTAATAAGAACAATCTACCTTGTTCCATGCTCCTGTTTTAGATGGACACAAAACTTTCAGATGATCTCAAACCATGTCTGAAACTGAAATGAACAGTAGTCATGAAATTAATGTTTGGGAGGAGAGGGTAGAGGTACATATTATTTTAATTATACAGTAAAACCCATATAAGTCTGATATGTATAATCGCTTGTCATACAGCTACCAAGTCCCATTTCAGCGTTTATATTCTATACAAGTTTGACATAACTCATACTTTGTGTAAGTCATATTAAATGTATGGTCTTAACTGATATGATTTATGTATTTATGTGAGGTTTACTGTAGTAACCTAAAGGGAAAATTTATGCAATGATGTAATCCAACATGATTCACATCTTTGGGCTGCTTAATTGTAAACAAAATCTAGGCAAAGCACTAAAAATGGTGATTTGGTTACTTTCACTTCTCCATTTTGTGGTGTTCCTGATGCTATGCAATTCTTCTTGCCTGAGAGCTTGAGCAATATACAGCCAGGTCCTTAGTTTTTGCACTTTTTTGTGGTATGTATTCTATGATTTATTTGTAAAAGTTTAAATATGGAAACATAATCCATTTACCTTTTTTATCGTATGCTTTTTTTAAATGAATACTTCACTAATTTTTACAAATATTAGATCAGATATCTCTCTTCCATCAACTTTTATTTTGGATAATAAACCAACTTCACTAGTTGCAAATTCTTCAGAGTATGAAGGCAGAGTTACTCTGACACCTTTTTAATTTTCTTTAAAAACCTGGCACTCATTTTGCATTCTTAAGCTCCCTAGGATTCAAATGTCTAGCAAACCAGATTATTTAGCATTGTGTATTAAAACCCAAGTATAATGTTTTTCAATTGTTTTCTGTAAGAACTTTTTCAGAGCCCACATTGGACTTTTGCAGGATTCTACTCTAAATTTCCCTTCCAGTTAAACATTTTAGAAGTGACATTTTCCTACTAGAAGAAAGTCCTGCAAACTTGAGCTCTTGTATGAACTTTGGAGCAAGATTATGGAGTTTGTTTGGGGCATTTTTGTACAATTGATGCCTTATGATTTTAAATTTCAAACGCGGTTTGAGATCATCTGAAAATTCTGAGATTGGACACTTTGCCTTGTTTGCTATAAAGTCTTCAATCTTTGACAATTGAAAGCAATAGAATACTTTCAACATGCAACACTTCCTGATTCCAAAATAAAAAAAACAGAAAACAAAAAAATCTTTTTTTGTAGAAGATATCCTAATCCTTGGCAGTGGTTTTCCCTGCACGGTTTTTATTGCAATGCCATTGCTTATTCGTTTACTGGGAGGTGGCTGCTTGGGCTATTATAGAGGCATTTGGAACTCTCTTGAATATTGGGTATACAGGAGAGATTTCATGGGTTAGTGGGTGGCCAAATATGGCACTTGGCAGCAGGCCATTCCACTTCACAGCTTGCATTTTAAGACAAGTAGTTGCCAACTAGCTGGTCTGGCAGAAGCAAATCTCTTGATTTCAGGTATTTGTCTGACTCCGTTGGTTTCTTTGGCCATCGATGTCTCTTATATTAATTCTTTAGTGATTTCATTGAATTCTGTGAGACAGACAGACACATATGCACACACACACATATGTACATATACATCCATAGATAGGTGTAGTATTTTCTGGATGGTTGCAAGGCAAGTAATAATTCCAGTTTACTGAGGGTGTGGCTTGAGTCATTTAAAACCAATAGAAAATGTTTTGAAGACTTGCTCTCTCCATTGCCATTTTAATGCTGATCAAGTATAAATTCCATAAAGACAAATGAAGTGAACTAAGTTTTCAAAAAAAAATCAGTAGTGCTATCTCCTGATGCGTACTTTGTTTCTTTTGCTTTTTGATTTTTTTTAAAAGCTGTGTTGCAAGTTTTTGGTCAGATCTGCAATAAAAACTAAAGTAACTAAGCATCTTAAGCGGAGTATGATTGACAGTAACCAGCATGGATGTATAGAAGGAAGGTCATTGAATTCTTTAAAGAAATAACAGATAAAGTAAATAAGGGGAAATGCATTGCATGTAGTGTACATAGACTTCCAGCGGTCTTTGATAAGGTGCCACGTAGAAACAGTAGAGGCTTACAGCACAGAAGAAATCCATTCGCCCCATCGTGTCGGTGCTGGCTCTTTTAAAAGCAACCCTTTCAGCCCCAGACCCAATCCTTACTTGCCCTTTGCCATGTAGCTTATTCCTTTTTAGATATTTTTCTAGTTCCCTATTGAAAGCTAATATGGATTCTACCTCAACCACCACTGAGTATTCCGTCTCCTAACTACTCTATGCATGAAAACAATTCTCCCCATTTGTTTGTTTAATCACTATCTTAAAATGGATACCCTCTAGTCATTGACTTACTAGCCAGTGAAAATAATTTCTCCCTATTGGCTACCAAAACCCCTCATAATTTTAAAGACCGCTATCAGATCACCCCTCAACTTGTTCCATTGGAAAAAGTCCAGTTCTTCCAGTCTATGAGACATTAGAGACTCATGACTAAAAGTGGGGCATGTGGAGTCATAGGAGAGGTAGCAGAATGGTTTGACAGATGCCTGGAAAATTATGAAAGAATTCAATGAGGTGGGAATAAATAGCCTGTTTCTGCTTGTTTTTGACGAGCCAGCATAGACACGATGAGCCGAATGGGCTTCTTCGACGCTGTGGACATAAATAGGCTGTTTCTACCTATTTTTGACAGGTACAAAACAGAGGTGCATAAATAATAATAATAAATATAAGAATGCCAGGAGCAGCTCTAAAAAGGAGTTTAAGAGGAAGTTTTTTCCACAGATGGTGGTAAAAATGTAGAGCTCACTACCAAAAGCTGTGTTTGAACCAGAAAGCATCAATGTGTTTATGAGGAAATTAGATAAATACATGTTGAGAGGGAAACAAAAACACAGAGAGCTGGGAAAACTCAGCAGGTCAGGCAGCATCTATAGAGAAAGGAAAGTGAGTCAACGTTTCGGGTCCACGACCCTTCGTCAGAACTGGGGGTTTGGAGGAGGGATGTATGCTCTCATAAATACCGGTATGGACTAGTTGGACCAAATGGCTCATTTCTATGCTGTAACATTTTATATCATTTTGTATAATCTTCTGTATAGTTTCTCCTACTAGTTAGTTGATTAAACTACAATACCATATATTTATGTTTGCTCAAAGAGCAGATTATTCAGAAATATAAGGAATATTAATGAGTGATTTGTCTTCATTGCTGCCTCCGCAGACTGGTTATTTTTAAATATATTTAAATATACTTTTCAGTTCAGTGCAAAATCTCATAACATAATATTGAACTTAAAACTTTTGCAGTAGTTGTATTTTGGAAACATTTTGGTAAAACTTAATATGGCATAATTGAAAATTCTAAAACTACAAAGAAACACAGTTTCTGGCCATATTCAGGATTTGTGATAGCAATTATTTTTATGCATTACAAAGATACCATGGATTATCTATTGACATCTCGTGCTCTTGTCAGTTCAAATGTGACGAGTGTCTTCCCAGCAATGATTCTTCTGTTCATGTAGTCTCACAAAATATCGCAAGTTTCTGCTGTCCCTCTAGGTCTGAAAGCTGCAATCAAACATAGGTATTTTTACTGATATCAATAATAAACCTAACAGATATATTGTTGAAGACCCTTCATGTGTAAATTACAAATAGAAAGTCATGTCTGGGAAGAAAATTATACAACTTGCAAAGCAAATGTCCAGCTTGATGAATGTGTACTGCAGAAAGTGCTTTTGACCTGACTCGGAGAATGGCATTGGTGAATTGGCATTAGATAACTCGTGGTGCACAGACTTACAGCTATTCAAATGAATGAGCAAAAATCAAATTCAATCCCCTTAATGAGAGTTTTACAATTTTACAGCTAAAAGGCAAGTTCAGCTCACTTTCTAGTTATCAGTCATAATTTACAGGAATCACTTAAAAATGATAGTTACTGGTGTTATAAACTTTTTTACATTTAACATTAAGGCACAATTTGATCTAGAATGCTTAGGAGTAAATTCTATCAACAACTACAACAACAACTTGGATTTATATAGCGCCCTCCATGCTGGAAGGCGTCTCATACATTAAAAGAGGGGAGGAATCTTGCGCTATCACAAGCTTACATTTGCTAGTTAGAAAATCATTGACTAATTTTGAAACTGGATGACTATATAGTTTTTAATGATCCATTTATAAGATAGTGTTGATATCAACTAGTATTTAACTCTTGCTCTTGATTCCTTTCCACGCTGTCAAATATACCATGCAAAATCTAACTTGAATGTGTGCATGTGTACTTTTACTGAATCACTCCTATGAGTATTATTTGGTACTTGTCAACTTTTAATGGTGGATAAACATTTGGTAGCTGCCAATTGAAGTAACTTGATCAAATTGATCTCTTGTCCTGATGCTGAAAAGCCAATGACATATTGTAACCTAAGTGTTAGGAGCTTTGAGCTGCAAAAAGCTTAAAATTGGAATTGATTATTTTCGCTTCTGTACGGCTTTGACATGTTTGGTGGTCTGCTTACGTACTGTATTGACATGCCTGGTCTAAATGTTGAATTTTCTTTGATTTGCCCTAGCGTTTGAAGAGCTAGAGAAAGCACTGGCTAAAGCTCAGAAAGCTGAAGAGAAATGTAAAAGAATGAAGGAAGAAAATAAAAACCGAATAGAAGCTATAGAGAAAGCAAGCGAAGAAGAACGGAGGAACTTGCAACAGGAGCTCACACGAGTTAAACAGGAAGTTGTTAATATAATGAAGGTAAGACAACAGGTTTGCTTAGAAAAACATTTAATTTAACAGTAATGATCTGTGAAGTTCTCCATGTTTTCAACAAAGCACAATAGAAATGAAAGGTTTTTCTCTTATCTCCAATCCAAAGGTTGGCTTGAATTGTTTATGTAGAATAATGCTTTTTGGTGGCTTTGATTCCTTCAATAGTTTAACAACAACTTGCATTTATATAGCGCCTTCCATGCATTTAACTCTGAGGACACAGTTGAATTTACAACAACAAGATTACTAACAATCTAGCATTTGAACTAACATTCGTGGGACATGTAACAACAATCAACAATCCTTGCATTCGATATAGCTCTCAAGGGAGTAAGAGAAGGAAAAAAATCACTTTCATGCATTTCCTAATGGCTGTTTTCAAAATGAATTTGGAGAACAGTGAATGACGAGAGGATGTAAGCTCAATGACAAAATCAATAATGTGTTGCAAGAAATGATGATCTTACTCTTTCTTTCCCACTCCATTGAGACAATAAAATATTTCTCAGTTACAAGGGTGAGCAGGCAACTTGGTCTTTCCCAATTCATTGCCAAATCTGCTAGCATGTGCATGACAACTCTGTAGTAATGTGCACCTTGACAACACTAAGTATCTCCTCTTGGAGTCACTGACAGCTCTGTGTTGGATGCAACTAGGGCAATCTCTTGCAGTTCTCAAATCTGTAAAATCGGCTACATTTTTAGGATCATGCAAACTTCAAATGGGCAGATCTTAATATGGCTACAAGATCATACACGGGTTTGGTAGTAACATTTACATTGGTGTGCGTATTTGTCCCTGTATCACACACTATTAGCAAAAATAGACCCTTGATCTTGACCTGCAGGTCAAGACTCTCAGATAAATTTCTAAATACTCACGTGGGTTAAAAGTTCGGGCTCTTTTTGGGCTCTCTCATTTATTTGGAGGTCATATGTAGTTGCTTGTGACACCTGTTTTATTTAACAGATCCATATTATCTCAACTAAAAATAGCATGCAACTACTGACTCAATTCATTGGCCATAGAGTTTTGGCAAAGTATGTGAATTCTCTTCTGTAACTAGTCCAAACTGATTCAGTTTCTTGATCAATATTTGCCAAGTTTTAGCCCTTTTTCTCTTCGACCGTAGCTTCAGCTCCCCTCTCGACTCTCTACCCCCTCCTCGCTCCCTCCCTCCCCTCACCCTGACCATTTCCCCCCTGCTCAAGTCCCGACCCAACTGTCCAGCGCCTTGGGACGTCCTCCCGACGTGAAAGGCACTCTATAAATGAAATGTTGTTGTTCAGTTGAATTCAACAGTGCTGTGGGAGTATGTGTACTTTAGTGTTTAGATTCAAATCTAATCACAATTCAGGAGTGAACCTGGTTTAATTCATAGAGCCCTATGAAATATTAAATGAGTGTTCCATTGCATTTTGAGAATCACCAAAAGCGTTGGTATACTGTGGACATTACTTTTGTCAGCAAAGGTTCAACATTGAAATTCTCATGTGTATTCCATTAGATTTACACAGGAATATGAAAAATGAATCTAATGAAAATCTGAAGTATTCTGGTTTCCTGTAGAGCATCTTGATTTCATTGAACATGCAACAATACATTTTATCTAATGTTTTGAAAAATTGGACAATATTACGTGAAGGCATTTTAACATCAACTAGTGTGCAAATGAGCAATGCTGTGCTACTCCATAATACAGTAACATGATACATAAGCTGCTTTGCTTTTGTAAATGAGGGCTAACACAAGTTTGGTGGCCCAATTCCCAGCAAAAAAATTTTATGTTCAAGGCTTAGTGGAGATATACATTTCTGCTGATCAAGGCTGAGCACAAAGACTTTGCAGGGGTTGATAGTTTGGAAATCACATGATGTGTGAAGCAATTAAAGCAATGTCTGCTTCCAAAAGAAAATCACTATGGTTTATTGCCAGTTACGCGGTTTGTTCTGCCTGCCAAAGAAAATCAAACAGCTATTATAGCTGATCCCCCATTTGCTGACCATTGAGTTTTGTCATCTTTGCGGTGATATTGCAGTAGCATGGAGCCTTCCCATTTTTGCATCTACAACTTGCTTCATTTTACTTGTGAGACTAATGCCTTTAGCAATGCTGAGAAGTTCATTTCAACAGTAATGTACAGTTTTCGTACAAAATACGCAGTCCCTACACTTTACAGTAAACCCTGTGAAGCACCTTAAGATGAATTGATGACATGAAAGATACTATCAAATTATAAGTATTATTGTATAGACTATAACTTGACAGTAAAAGTGAACCAAATAACTGATCTTGTTCCATTTGGCAAATCTCCAGCAGCACTCAGTCAGAATAGCTTGAAAATTGAACAATGGAATGTATTATACTCTACTCCTATACTTTGGATATTGCTGTATTACACTGACACTTGGATTTTTGTTAGGGACAGCTACAATGGAAATTGGCCTTTACAATGCCATGTATGGAATTTAAATGGAATTGGTTTGTGTGATACATGTTCTGATAAACAATGAAGTTCTTATGTAATTCCCAAAATAAATAATGGAATGGCAGGAAATAAGTATCAGGTGCACTGTATCACATTACATTGGAGAGGAAGGAAAAGCATAGTTTCTGGGCAGCTGTTGCCCTATCCCATGCTGATCTGTATTTTGAGGAGTACTTAACTTCTGAATTTGTCCTTTGCTGTAGAAGACCTCTGAAGATCGCATTGGAGAATTGGAGAAAGTTCACATGGAAAAAATGACCTCCAAAGAGAAAGACTGTGAACAACAGCTGCAAACTTCTCAGCAGGAGTTTCAAGAACAGCTAAAAATGGCTCTGGTATGTATCTCCACACAGCTCATAGGCAGTGCTCTTGTATTGTTTTTCAAGGATTGACCTCCATATTTTGTATGATGGAGCCGAAACAACCTACTTTAATTAATTCTTAATCCCACCATTAAACCAAAGAGATCAGAAAATTTCTCCTGAACTGAAACCCTGGTCTTATTGTAGCTAAACACCACTGCTGCTCTAATCCCTATAAAATATATGGCATAATTTCTTTTATAGATGTTTTGGCTCAGTTTGTTGGCTGCCTGCTCCCTCAAGCTCACATGCCAAAAATTGACAACTTGTAGACTTTACCCATTGTATGCAACGTCTATGCCAGTTAAAATATATGCAAGCACACAAGTGGAGATGGGAGCTTGGCTTTCTCAGTGAACGCTCTCTCTGGCATTCTGGTATTGTTTGCATGTGTGGGATTTAAAATAATCGCCACCAGGACACAAGACTCTGAAGACGACAGAGAAGTGTAGTTAGTGTTGAATGAGAGGGATGGGCTCCATGGGCTTCTGGGCCTTTCTTCACTTTCTATTTATTCAACATTTTCTCTTGGTTGCAATCGGTGCAAAGTTTTGCTTGTAACAGATACTCTTCCTAAAATGTGCCAGCCATCCTGGATTGGCTGAATGGCCTGTTACTGACCTTGTATGAATCTATGTTAGGAGGGCAGGAGAAATTATATTACATTTTATATATCACCTCTGCATTTAATCCAAAACCAATCAAAATATGTGAGGGAAGTTTTGCTCCCTTTTTTAATATAGAATATGTTCTTTTTATCAGATCTTATAAGTTATAAGATAACTTTTCAGATGTTGTGTACAATGTCTCACAGGACAAATGCCATGCTGAGTATCGGGTGTTACTGCAGGACAAGGAACAGCAGACTGCGTTGGCATTAGAAGAACAGGAATTACAAAGAAAAGCCGTTCAGGCCCAGGCTGATCGACAAATCCAGGACGTTCAAGCAGAAGTGGAAACATTTAGAACGGTAAGAACTAGCCCCATTACAGTAATGAGTCTGTGTCCATTTTAAAATTTTGGCTACAGCAATACTTGCTGACTTACTAATGTTTCCCTGTGTCTCTTTTCTCTTTATGTGTTGCCCCTGTTGCTTAAATAAAACGCAATACATAATTACAATTGTAATTGTAATTTTGTATTGCACGTCGGGAGGATGTCCTAAGTCACAGGAACAATATTTTTTTCCAACCTTACCATCAGTATCATTCCACCATGCTCTCTGTTCCAGTGCTAAGGTGAATGGGGGCAGGGTTAATGCAGTCTCCATTCAACATGCTGCTCATGTTAAACATTGTCCCTTGAGAAGTTCTATGCTATATTTCCAGGTTACTTATTACCAGTTATTATAAAGCATAATAAACCACAATAATGGGAGGCTGTGAGACATTCATTTCCTTTATTTATAACTTTTAGGATTATGTGACAATTAAGTTGAATAGGGAACATGCTTGGTGTTCTTATAGTCACAATTTATAAAGGGGGCAAAAGCATGAGGTCAGAGAGTACATATACATAAACTGCACAATCCCTTTGACTTATTTTGTGAGTACTTCATGTCTTAAAAACCTGACCGAGTACAGAGGGAATATTCTGTAAGAATTGTGAGGCTCTGCAGCTCAGCTTTTCAGCTGGATCCAGATGTGTCATGTGATTATATCAGTTTAAAATGTCTTTTTTTTAAATTAAGGTACCTTACAGGATTTCCCTTCCTATTCTGCAATCCTGAGAACCGTGAACCTTAAAAAAAAATGTCGTCACTCAATCCATAAGTGTTTGTGGGAAACTGCTGTGCTCAATTGGTTGCCGTGTTTTGCCCACAAAATATACAGTCTAATCACTCTACAGAATATTCTTTGGGACGTTTCAATGATGTGATAAGGCGTTGTGTCAAATGCAAGGATTAGTATTATTATAAATCCTGTACTCCCTGTCTGTTTAATTTTGGTCAGCAGGGGAATCACAAGGGGAAACCCTTGCTTAAAGAATAACTTCAGACTTGAGAATATCTAAACCAGACAGTTCCTTATATGCAGAAAAAATGACTGGGGTGGTGCCCCATGTCAGCAATTTGAATGCAGTTTAGGCTGACACATCAATGCATTGTTGCGTTGCATTGTTGGAGATCTGCATTTAGGATGAGATGTTAAGCCAAGGTCCCATCTGGCTTTGCAGGTGGATGTTAAAGATCCCATGGCATTATTTGAAAAGAGAAGGGAGATTCTCCCTGTGCCCTCGCCAACAGTCCCCCAAATAAAATTGGTCATTCACTTCATGGCTGTTCATAGAATGCTGCTGTACGCAAATTGGCTGCCGCCAATTCAAGCTACTAATAAAGATACAAAGTTTCATTTGACCAAAGCTTAAATTAATAAACTTGGAATGTTCTCAAATTCACATTTACAGAATGCATAGTCACTGCAACAACAAGTTTCATGTACATAGTGCCCTTCATGGAGAATAGCATCTCAGAGCGCCATACAATGGTAGGGTTGGACACCAAGCAAGGAGAGGAGTAAATCCTGTAAAGCACTTTGAAGCATTCTCTCAACATAAAATATAGGATGCAAGGATTATTATTTATTTACACCTGGAGTTTAACCAGCTAAAACTACTCAGCTTGCCATTGAAAGTGCTGCCCAGCAAGAGACCATCTAGGATCTAGCAGGGCCCACCCTACCTGTTGGGACTTTGGCTTGCAGGGTTAACAGGAGATCAGTGGGAAGAATTCTATCCCCAGTGACAGATCTACCCTTCTAAATCCTACTGACTAGCCAGGCTGGCTGGACTGTCATCAGCAATGCCTTAGAATATTGTGGACTTGTTTGTCTCAGGAACTGGACAACCGAGACTGCTACAGAGAGTTGGAGCAGTTGAAGGATGGTGGTGCAAGCCCAGTGCCATTTGTGCTTCTAAACCAATTCTTGGAACACATCTTTCTCCTCCTCAATTCAAATTTATTTTTTAACTCCAAAAATCTTTTTCTCTTGATAGATAGGTTTCGGCACTGATTACCTTTCACTGGGGCCTCTAAATTCCTGGAAGAAGTTTAGTCAGAAAGGGAAAATGTTAAAGGTTCATGAAACACAGTCCCATAGAGAAAGGCTTGTATCCGTTGGTATGTAATCTGCTGCTGCTATGACCTGTTTTCTTTTGAAAAAATATAGATATGAATGAAGGTTTCAGGAAATTTCAATGTATAAAGTCATGAATCTACCGATAAGCTGGCAATTTAATTGAAAGATTTGAGTAAATATATCAGTCACTGTCAGTTGGGAATAAGCAGCAAGAAGTGCATGTCTAATTTTCCTTTTCCATGTATCAATAATCAAACATGACTTTCAGCAATACATTTGCCACAACTTAATGAAACCTAATGTAATTAGTGTCTGCGTACTTAATTGTTTTATGCTGTTTATGAGCTCTAACATGGACAAGGGCCAAAATAAATGTGAATTTGAATTCATTTGAAGTTTATTAATTTAAACTTTGGTCAATTGAAACCTTGAATCTTTATTAGTAACTTGAAGCATATACGTATAGTATTTGTTTTTTTAATGGTTCCTGCTTGTATTTCCTATGGTAACGTATTGCCTAACTTTGAGTGTCCTATATTTTTATTTAATGGTTTTGTTCACGTTATTTGGGTAATTATCTGAATTCTGCAACATCGAAAGCATTCAATTCTTAAACCAATCCTGTAACTAATTCTCTCTCCCTCTCTCTCTCTTTGAATATGCTCTTCTTACTGTATTTTAACAATTTTAAAGCATTAGTTTCACTTTAATAATATAATAATAATCCTTGCATTTGATATAGTGCCTTTCATATCAGGAGGACATCCCAACAACAACAACAACTTGGATTTATATAGCGCCCTCCACGTCGGACGGCGTCTCAGAGCGCTTCACAGTAACGGATCCCGGGGCTGAGCCAGGGGGAGGGGGAGGAAAGTGACCAAAGGCGTGGTCGAAAAGAAAGTTCTTCAGCCGAGACCTGAAAATAGGAAGAGGGTGGGGGGGGGCGAGACGAAGGGAGTGAAGAAGGGAGTTCCAGAGCCTCGGGGAGTAGTGGCTGAAGGCACAGCCGCCGAGGGTAGAGCGGAGGACTCGGGGGACAAGGAGGAGGCCAGACCCGGAGGAAAGAAGGCAACGCGCACTGTTTTGAGGAGAGAGGAGGTCAGAGAGGTAGGGGGTGCAGAGTGGAGGGATTTGAAGACAAGGGTGAGGATCTTGAAGTCAATCCTCTCTGGGACAGGCTGACATTGCTGTGTGATTTGCACACAGCAATGTTCCACGCACAGCCATGACCAATTTTATTTGAGGGATTGTTAGCTAGGACACCGGCAGAAACTCCCTTCTCTTTTCAAATAATGTCTTTAATTATCCACCCGAAGAAGCAGACGAGACCTTGGTTTAACATTTCATCCGAAGAACAGCACCTCCAACACTGCAGCGCACCCCTAGCACTGCACTGACGTGTCAGCTAAGACAATGTGATTCCAAGTTCCAACTGGGGTGCTTGAACCTGCAACTTTCAGACTCAGAGGCGGGAGTGCTACCACTGAGCCAGACTGACGCACAAGGCTGTGGTTAAGAAAAGATTACACTGGAATATCTTTAATCTTAATCAAAAATCAGTTCTTCCTTACTTCAGCTTTCAAGAAACTCAAATGAAGCAAACTGAGTGGATATTTGAAGTTTGGTGCCTCACAGTAACTGTACAGTACATCATCTCCCAACCTTTGCTGCCTTTATCTGTTCTCTTGATATTACTCTTCCTATTAGCAGATCATTATGTCGGTATGCTGCAGGAAGCCTGTTTTTCAATATCATCAAACTGAATTCTTCAATTTTCAATGTATCTTTACTTACTATCCTTTAGTGAAAGCTGTAAACTGTAATGTTATCTACTCAGATATACCAGTCTGCAGAATCATCAGCATTACCACTTTGCATTATATTTGTGTTAGTTCTTCACTTGATGCTTTGCTCCTCAATGCTACTCGTCTAGTTGGTGCTGATATCTGTTTTCCATCGGAATGCCTCAGTCCAGCAGGCTCTGTGTTTACCAGTAGAATTTGTGCGGTTCCCCATAAATTGAGAGGTGTCTGGAGACAGCAGGCAATTTTCCCCTGATAATTCCAGACTGCAGTGATTATCACTGAGCTGTGTCAGAATCATACAAAATTGCTCTGTTGTAGAATTGATTCTATTTCTGGGATGCCTGAGAAAACTGTTGCCTTTTGTGGTTATCAGATGCCCAAGATCAAAGAGATCAAGGCCAAATGTTTACCTTTAACATGCATTCAAGAATGAAGCCACTAATATAGAATAGTCATTCTAGATGTGCAGAGTCAAGTATTTTGCCTTCCGAAATTCAATGTGTATTGCCCCTTTTATAATATGCAGCATGTGTTGATACCTCCCATTACGAGAAGGATTTGTACGTTTTTTCTTAAATACTGTACTTCAAAGATCATAATGATATTTACAGCTGTATAAATATTGTTCAAAAACATTCTTGTGCCGAGACATTCTAAATTTTAGCATTTGAAGTTCCCATTGGTAATTGTCAAAAATTAGATAATGTTCAGGATCAACGTCAGATGCTGTCATCTTAGGGCTTGCAGATTGCTATCTGAAACGCATTTGTGTTGCAAATATTTTTAAATGTAGCTTTTATTACTTGTTTACAGAGAGTATTGGAATTAGAAAGTTCCCTGCTGAAGAAGTCACAAGAAGGTGAAACACAATCAGAAGAGCTAGGGGCAGAGAAAACCAAGCACGAATTGAAAATTGCAACCTTAAGTGAAAAACACCAAGGTGAAATAGAAAAGCTACGACAGGAACACAAGCAACTTTGGAGTGAAAAAGTGCAGGCAATTGACCATCAGTATACGGTTGAAATAGAGGAACTCAAGGCAAAACATCAAGTATTAGAAGCACAATTAAAGGAGAAAGAAACAGAATTCCAAGCACACATTGAGGAAATGAACCAAAAGACATTAGAGAAACTTGATGTAAAGCAATCTGAGTTGGAGGCACTTTCTACTGAACTGATTGAAACCACGAAAACACGACATGAATTGGAACAACAGTTAGCTACAACGAGGGAAGACTTTGAGACCAAACTGGAACAGAAACAAATGTGTTTTGAAGAGGAAATGAATGTCGCTAGAAAAGACCACAAACATTCTTTAGGTGATGTCGAGAAAGCGCTGACAGAGGAGATAAATAAACTCCGCTTTCTTCTGGAACAGAAGGAAAAAGATGCAGGAGAAGTCCAAGTAGAGGAACAGAGACTGAAACGAGAGGTTGAAACCATTCGAAATGAAGCTGCGGAATTATCAGCCAAACTTGAAATTCTAAACCAGGACCAACAGAATGAGCAGAAAGAATCTTTAGAAAAGATGAGCTGTGTACTAGATAACCAAGAAAAGAAGTATGAAGCCCAGATAGCAGAGTTGCAAAGCTTACTGAGAAACCTGGAGACTGAGAAACAGAATCTTAGCAAAAATATGGAAGAGAAGGAGTTCTCATCTCAGACTCAACTTCACAAACTTACTGCTGATTTAGATGCTTGCAAATCTCAGGTGCAGGAATTGACACAACAGCTGGAAGAAAAAAACAATGAGTTGGTACAGAAAATAAATACCCAGACAGAGCAACATGAAACACAAATAACTGGATTACGATCAGAGATTGTGCAGTTGCAGGCAAGTTTGACAGAAAAGGAACACGCCCTTGATGAAGCCAAAACTTTCCAAAAGCAGCAGGAAGAAAATCTCCTTCAAAAACTGACTGAAGAAAAAACGTCAGTTGAGCAGCAAATTACTGCTCTGCACGCGGAGTATGGAAAGAAAGTAAAATCACTCGAAGGGAAACTCGATAAGTTTAAACAAAGGGATAAAGAAATGCACGAAAAATTCAAGGCGAAGCTGTCCGAACAGAATGCCAAACTGAAAGAAGAGCTGGAAAAGAAACAGCAAGAATTGGAACAAAAGGAGAAATTGTTCAATGAAAAGATTCTGGAAATGGCACGAGCAAGCTCTGCAGGGATTAGTGACACAGTGTCCCAGCTGGAATCTAGTCAAAAGGAACAACTGGAAAGTCTTACTGTGGCTCACAGGCATAATATTGCAGAAGTTACCCAGAGCTGGGAGAAGAAAGTGGATCAGCAGATTGAAGAACTACAAGAAAAGCACGAGATTGAGCTTCAGGAAAAAGAACAGGAAATTAAAGAGATAAGACAGAAGTTAGCAGTCTCCAACAATGAAAAGGAAGAAATGGCTGGAAAATAACAGAAATCTCAGAGAAATTTGCTGCAAGTGCAAGCAAGACCCAGCAATTCCAGGTGGAGCTAAAGAAAACATCTGCTCAGGTTGATACTTTGACTAGTGAGTTGAAGAAAGCAGAAGAACAGAACAATAGCCGCATTTGTGAAGTAGCCAATATGTTGCAGGAAACGGAAAATAAACTACAGTCATCGGAAGCCTTGCTTTGCATAGAAAAGGAGAATTATGAAAAACAACTTCAAGAAAAACGTGTGGAACTTCAACAGAAAGAAGCTGAATCTACGAACCTGCTGGAGAAATTGATGAATTGTGTTCAGGAGACTGATGCAAGAATGCAACTGCAAAGTAATGAATTCTGTGTAAAATATGACGGTAAGGTCACCGCACTTAATGACCGGCTGAAAGATTCCCAAAATCAGACAGAGAAGTTAAAAACTGTACTACTTGAAAGGGTCAATATAATTGGGGATCTGGATGCTCAACTCAAACAGACAGTAGAACAAAATACCTTGTTGAATGATTCAGTACAGTGTATGACACAACAGCTGCAAGATCGAGAAGAAGAAATCAAGACCTTGAAAGCTGAGCTGCAAAGTGTTGCTACAGAGCAGGACGCACTCCTGCAAGAAAGCAAACTTCATACTGAGGTACTGGGTGAGAAGGAGACATGTATTGCAAAATTTACAGAAGAACTGGCAGAGAGTGCAGATGTGCAGAATTCTATCACAGAAACGCTAAAAGAAAAAGAATCCCTGGTTGTGAGCTTGGAGGGGCAAGTGAATGATTTGAAGTTGCAGCTTGCAAATAGCATTGGCCTTGCAGAGAAGGAAGAAGCCATATCATTGCTCAACCAACAAAACAAACTGGAACAGCAGAAGCTTCTGGACCAATTAGACCAAATGTTCACCCGTATTGAAGCGCTCACCCAGGAGAAGATCTCAGCCCTCGAGCAGGCAAACCTGTTCAAAACCAAATTAACAGAATGGAAGAAAAAGGCTGAGTCAAAATTCACACTGAATAGCAATAAAATGAAGGATTTACAGGAAAAACTTGAACTTTCTGTCAAACAGAATAAAGAAAAGGTTGATCAATTATCTAGTTTGACAGCAGAGGTGGAAAAATTGAACACCAATCTACAAAGTACTAAAATTGAAGTGGAATTTGTGCAGAGCGAGAAAAAGAAAATGGTAAATGATCTAACTACTGAGCTACAAATAGCTCATTCTAGAGTAGTAGAACTAGATCAAGAAATTGTCATGAAGTCCAAAGAGGGTAAAGTTTTAGAAGAATTAAGAAAACAGCTGCATCAGAAGGAAGTTACATTGGAGGAGATGGGTAGGCAGCTTCAGCAAACTCATGTTGGAGCTTGTGACCAGGAAAACTTGTATAAACGTACCGAAGAACAATTCCAATCACTACAGGCTGAAATCTCCCAGAAAGAGAGTGAGTGGGAGCAAAAGAGAACAGAACTTGAGAATAAAAAGGAAGAGGACCTGAAGGATTTAGAAAGCAGGATGAAAACTGAGTATACCATAAAGATAGCTGAACTGAAGAAAAAAGCAGAACAAAAGATTGCAGTCATAAAGAAACAACTCACAACCCAATTAGAAGAAAAAGAACACTGCATAATAAGACAAGATGAACAGCTTCAGGACTTGAAACAAAATGCAGAGGAAAGAGAAGCGACCATGCTGACCTTAGAAAAAAAGCTGAATGTATTGGAAACTACAATGGGATCAGAGAAGGAGGAAAAGCAAAGGTGGGTTGAGAAACTAAAGGAAGAAATGGAGCTTGAGAAAGAGAGCTCGCTGAAAACTTTGAGAGAAAGCTATGAGGAACAAGTTACGGGTCTACAGATGGAGGTATCCACAAGAAATGATATCGTGCAGAAATACAAAGAAGAAATTAGTGCTTCTGAACAAGAAACTAAAAAGGCACATTCAGATCTTCTAACACGTCTGGAAAAACTTGAAGAGGAAAAACAAAACCAGAAAATGGACCTAGACAAGCTTCGATCAGAGCTTGAGGAACAGAGGCAGAAATATTTCATCCTGTCAGAACAGCAAAATAAGAGATCTGGTACCTCAGATAATGTTATGGAGCAGTTAAAGGTTAAAGCCCAACAAATCAATGAGATGGAAAAGACCAATGCAGAACTACAGAAACAAATGGAGGAAAAAGAGATGACTGAAAAGTCACTACAAACAAAAATATTGGAGCTAGAAAGTAGTTCTATCTTAAAGGAAGACATTGAGAAGCAACTTAAATCAGAAATTAATTCTCTGAGAGAAAGCTCAGAAAAACAGATGAAAGATCTCCAATCCCAGTTAGAGGAGAAAATCTCTTTGCTTAACATCTTTGAGGAGAACTCTGAAGAGAAATCAAAATCTTCCACAGAATTACAAAAGCTGTTAGCAGACTTGCAAGAGCAGCAAACAGAATTGCGACGCAAGTTAGAAGAGTCAGAAAATGACAAACAGAAGGCACGCAAAGAGTATTCCAAACTGCAAAAGGACATGCGTGCCTTGCGGAAAGAGCAGGATGCGGAAGTGGAATTAGTTAAAAGGGAAATTAGTGAAGAATGTGAAAAAAAAGCGAAGTAAGTGTTCACAGTATAACGAGATTTTGGGGGGAGGTGGGAATTTTGAGTGAATCTTGTATAGTTTTGTTCTAGTACCTCTTGAGTTTTTTTCTGCTAATTGCTAAAAAAAAACAATTCTACAGGAATCATCTTGTGGAAATTCTGTATCGGTTTAAAAAAAGGAATAGTGAAATGCGCAGGTTAGGATTAAATTGCATTTCTTGGGAGGTGGTGGGGGGGGTCCAATATTTAGGTAGGTAAAATACCACCATTTACTATCTCATTTTTGCCCAAAACATATCAAACATATATAATCATCATATGTTATATATATATTACTGAAATTCATAACACAACAATGAGTTTGCTGCTTGCAGCTTTGAGCTTCCTGGAGGCCCCAGATGAGGTAAATTTCAAAGTCCTCAGATAGTTTGATTTTATTTGACAATGAAGTTTGGTCCACATGTAGTAGAACACTGATTTACTCTTATACAGCACTATGGGAGAATATGTAAAAATGCTTAACAATAAACCTTATGTCCTTCACAAAGGTTAATATCTCAGATTGAATGGGGGCCCAAGTTTGATGGTGGTTGGGGTGGGGGCCGAGAAGAGTAATCAAAGCTCAAAGAGGCAGGTGTTCAGGCAAGATTTGAAAGCAGTGAGAGTTGGGCGTGGGGAGAGAACAAAGTGGCTTTATCTGCCTGTGGTCGGGCAGGGCACATGAAGTTCTCTGGAGTTGGCAAAGTGGTGGGATTGGCTGGGGAGTAGAACTGCAGGAGGTTGCAGAGCCTGCAGGTGATGCAAGCTTGTGGAGGCATTTAAACCTAAGGATAAAGTTGATCAATTGGGTGAAGGGACCATGGAGCTGCGTGAGGAAGGGGATGCTGAAGTTCACGATAGTTGACAAAGTGGTGGGTTTGGCTGGGGGCGTAGAGTTGCAAGAGATTGCGGAGACACAATGCAGCCTAGTTAGGGATAGAGTGAATTGTGGAGCTCTGCACAGTCTGAAGGTTGTGCTGTTAGGGAGGCCAGTGAGCAAGACGTCAATCAGAGTCATTTTGAGTCATCCTGACATGAGCACATTATTGCTAAGTGGGTAGATTATTCCTGGAGAATAATAATGGCCTGTCTGTCTCCCTTTGCTGATGCTGTTATTTGTCTTGCAGGCTGGATCTGGAGGATATGGAGATGAAACACAACTCTACTCTCAAACAGTTAATGCGAGAATTTAACACACAGCTCGCTCAGAAGGAACAGGAGCTAGAGACTTCTGTCAAAGATACAATCAGTAAGTATGCAAACAAGAAGCAATCATGTCTGAGCACATCAAAATCAGTTCTGAATTCCCTCCAGACTCAGGTTTTCGGGTTGGCTGCTGACTTGAAGCAAATGAGGCATGTTCTTGTCTACTCTCTAGGGACCTACTTCCCTTAGATTTTTTCCCCTCTTCTAATCACCAATTCTCATTTCATTACTATCATTCTACCATGCTGAGCTCCCTTTTCATTATTCATGTTACCCCATTGTACGCATGTGCTGATCTTAAGCACGTAATTTGTGTTGTCCTTCATCTATTATTTTCTCTGGGGTCTAGTAGTTTTCCTTCTATCGCTATTGGGACGTCCTCCCGACATGAAAGGCGCTATACAAATTAATCTTGTTGTTGTTGTATTCTTATTATTCCCTCCTGACCCCAATTCACCCCACTCAGTAGCATTACACTTTTTTAGGCTTTGCTTCACTTTTACCTGTTCCAACATGTTCACTCAGTCTCCTCCAATGGCTCCTCCATCTATACCCGTACAGTCACAAGTGGTATTCTTCAGTATAGTGCCCTTGGTCCTCTCTTCTTGGTCCTCTATGCTTACTTTGCTGACATCATCTTGCCTTCCCCCCCGCCCTCCATCCTGAAACCTTGACCTGACTTTTTCACCATGCTTTCAGACAGTTTTTCTCCTCCCATCCTCAGCTACTCCCCCAGCTCAGACTCAATCAGTTGTGTGAAGCACTTTACCATTCTCCCAATGTCAAAGGCCCTCCCTATATATATGTAAATTGTTTATGTGCCCAGATAGATTCAGACTAAGAATAGTGTATTTAATGCTACTCTTCATGCCACTCAATAAATAACTGACTTAGCCGGAGTTGCTTCTAGCTAGAAATGTGCAAAAGTATTTGCAATCTGTGAATTCTTTTGGGAGCACGGTTAACTACTATCAGCATTGGAAAGTTTGTCAACCATTCGTAATGCCTTATTTTACAAATAGTAATGGTGTCAGTGAGCTGGAAGAGGCTGTACATCAGGTTAGCATTCTTGTGCAGCAGAATCCATTCCTGTGGTTTCTGTATGTTTAAAAATACAAGTATGGAGATTCTTCATGCAAAAGAAGAACCCAGGTTTCTGTAGCACACCTTCCAGTGATTTGTTGAATGAACAACAACAACAACAAAATTACATTTGTAAAGCCCCTTTCACGTCAGGACAGACAGAGTTACGGACCCGAGCTGGAGGTCGGGGTCGGGAAGGGTGGAGGGCAGGGGGGGAAACAGGGAGATTGAAAGCACGGTCGAAGAGGAAGGTCTTGAGATGGGTTTTGAAGGTGGCAAGGGAGGGATGAGGAGAAGGGACTGTGGGATGGAGTTCCAGAGGGTGGGGGCAGAATGGGGGAAGGCCCGCCAATAGTGGGGCAAGCGAGGCGGGGGATGTGAAGCAGGCCGGAACTTGTTAAGCAGAGGGAGCGAACAGGATGGTAGAGGGTTAGGAGGTTGGAAAGGTAGGGGGGAGTAAGACCATGGAGGGCTTTGAAAGTGAGGACCAAGATCTTGAACTGTATTCTCTGTGTGACGGGAAGCCAGTGGAGTTGGGCGAGGATGAGGTTGATAGGGTCGCTGAGCCTGGTGCGGGAGAGGACACGGGCTGCAGAGTTCTGGATGATCTGCAGCCTGTGGAGGGAGGAGTTGGGGAGGCCGACAAGCAATAAGTTTGTATAGTCGAGCCTCGATGTAATGAATGCGTGTATGAGGGTTTCGGCAGCCTGCGGTGTGAGACAGTGGCGGAGCCGGGCGAAGGTGGGGGAAGGCAGAGCGGGTCATGGAGCAGATGTGGGGTAGAAAGGATAGTTGAGGGTCAAACAAGACCCCAAGGTTCCAGATTGGCTTAGCAAGGTGGAGTGTGCAACCATGGATGGTTAGCGCTTGAGGTGTGGAGGTGCTGATGGGAGCCAATCAGGAGAGCCTTGATCTTGTTGATGTTCAACTGAAGAAAGTTAGCTCTCATCCAGGGCTTGATGTCTGACAGTGGTCCTGGAGTCAAAGGTGGAGGCAGAGAGGTAGAGTTGGGTGTCATCCACATACGTGTTGAAGTTGACCCTATGTCTGCGGATGATGTTACCAAGAGGGAGCATATAGATATTGAAGAGAAGGGGACCAAGGACAGAGCACTGAGGAATGAAGTCACCGAACCAGCCTGATGTACAGATTAATTGACCACATCTTGTTGCGAAGTGTGAAAGATTTAGACTGAGGCAATTTTATTCCAAAAAAAATTTCTAAATAAGGAGCATGCTCTGTTTTCTGTGCGGCTGGAGGAGGCTTTCAAGCTGGATTTAGCTGCATAGTTGTAAATCTGTGGGCTAATGAGATGACAATCTACTGGACAAGCGGATCAGTTTACAGTAACAAAGCACGGAAAGAACACAGTTTCCCACTGGGTGATCTCGATCGCGAATTTGAAGGAAATTTTAGATTGGAATCCATGCACTTAGTCATATGAATATTTAGAGAGCACCTCAATACACATCAACTGACCTCCTCCTCCTGATCAGTTACTGAGCAGCATTGGAAGGAGACCAGGAGTAAGTTACCTATTCCTCCTCCTGGTAAGAGATTTATGCATGTTGTGATGAAGGAAAAGCTGAAATGGGGAGGGTGGGGGAGTAGAAGGGGAGCAGAGAATTGAAGAGTGCGTGGTGTGTATTTCTATAAACTGTGTGAAGCTGCATGTACATTTAAAAGTGTTGCATTGCATGAGTGAGAATTAAATTGCAATGTGTAATTCACTGTTATTTTTATACTGTAAACATCTTTTATTTGCCTGCTTTGGAATTCAAATATTTCTGTACTTTTTTCTGGCCAAACACTGTTCATTGTTTTTATACACTTGAGATGTTTTTACATACTTTAGTTATTACAGCTTACCTCTGTCTGCAGGTGAGTTGTATGTGTTCATGAAACCAATGAGTACTTGAGACTTCATTTAAAAGATTCTTGACCTTCACAGGATAAGAACTAAATTAACTCTGTGAACATCTCTAGTTCACGGGATGCAAATTCTCTCTATGTTTAGGCACATGGTGACATCACTTCCACTGGCACAGCTCTGGCTTCAGCCAATGCTGCTGCAAGTATTCTCCGTCATTGATTCATAGCTGGTGAGTCTACTTATAAAACCAGCAATCAAACAAGCATAAAATTTCGGCTTCAGTTGAGAACATTCCAGAGTTACCAGAACACACTTCGTGATAAATGCCAAAGCGTTTGGAACCAATGGATTTATTTTCTAGCCAGTTTTTTGTACATTTTGCTTGTCCACCCACATTGGCTGCTGCTAGATTACTGAGGAATAATCTCAATATCTTTACAATCGAAACAGATTGTGTGTGCAACAGACTTCTAAAAGATCCCTGTTAAATTTTACCTCCAGTTGAAATGCTGATTATTTACCAAGTGGAAACTAAGTATAGGAAGTTCCATCTACAGCAGTGGTGGCCAACCTTTATGAGTCATGCTCTTCACTTTCACAGACAGGCAGACAAATTCAGGGTTATAACTTTCTCAGACAAGTTGGAAGATTTACAGGTTTTATGAACCTCTTGATACCAAGAGGTTCATAAAAGTCAGCTCACTGAAATCAAACAGTGCCACTGCTTAGAACTTTTTATGTGCATCTTAAATGATGAAAACAATATGAATTCCCTGTTAATTCTGTATTGGAAAGTTGAAAAACATTCAGTATATTGCATCTTTCCAGAATGTGTACCAATAGTGGGCTTAGTCTTTAGATTGACACTTGTTCTATCTACCATTTGTGAAATGGCATACTATTCAAACCTGTTGCATGCCATGTTGAAGTGTGGTGTTTTTCTGATAAGCTTTATAAATTCCCAGGCAAAGCTCAAGAGGTGGAGGCTGAGTTAATGGAAATCCACAAGGAGGATGTAAATCAGTTGTATCGAAAGATATCTGAAAAGGAGGATGATCTAAAAAAGACTGCAAAAAAATACGAAGAACTTTTGCAGGTATGTAAAGGCACTGCTGTGAGATAATTGTCGTTAATTGTTCTCAGTGCCACCTTTATTTTTAGTGGAGTCTAAAATGTGGACATTTAGAACAAAATTCCTTAAGAAGGAAGTCTGTTAGAATTCATAAGATATCTGCTCCAGAACTCAAGATCAGGAAGAAGGCTCTCGCTATCCACTGAGCACCTTCCTTACTGTTTAAGGTAAAACGCCAACTATGGCCAGCATTAGGGAAACGTGGGTAAGAAACAACTTTGCCTCTGTGTTGATAGCTGCATCTGCCAATAATTCAACAGTCAACGTGGCAATAGCCAGTTCCAGCTGCTTTGAAACTAGATGTTGACCTCTCCATCGATGTTTGATTTTTATCCCCAATCTATAATTTAAATTTGCCAGTACATTTCGTTTTTTCTTTTCAGTCTCGAGAAGAAGAAATGGCTGCCAAAGTTACGGAGGTTCAGAAGCAGCTGGAAGAACTACAAACCCAACATCAGCTGTTAGTGTTTGGTGAGGAGAATCCGAGTGTAGAGCAGGTGAGAGGCTTTTGTTGTTGTAAATTAGTATTAAACTATAAAGAATAATGAGAATTCTGACCAACAGGAGAACAGGATTGGATTACTCAGCTCATTGAGCTAGCTGCAGCATTTATTAAATCATGGCAGCTCTAATACTTTTAATTCCATTGCCTGTAACCTGTGTTGACCTTGCATATAATCTTATCAACTGTGGATCACATGATACGTTATGTAGATCTATTTAACATTTAGAGGATGAATGGATCCAAGTCAAGCATAACTTGATGCTACATATATCAGAACATTTGGAGTTAAAATTCCTTCAACGTCCTGTGTTTTTTTTAAAAAAGTTGACCCTTTGTTTTATCCAAAAACAGTATTTCATAGGAATTTGTTTCTCTAGTTTCAATAAATTAGCGTTTTGTTTTAGAAACGCTTAACGTGCTGAAGATATTGTGAGCCTTTGCTGCTACCTTTACTGCAGAAGTCCTGTAGCTCAGTGGTTCGCAAGCAAGAAACCTGGGTTTGATTCCTGGCAGGGTGAAACCTTGGGCAAGTTTCCTTACTCCACACGCCTGATAATAGTCCCTCAAGAAAAAAAACAATAATAATATTGGTCACTTCAATCCACGACTGTTTGTGGGACACTGCTGTGCGCAATTGGCTGCCACGTTTTGCCCACAAATATACAGTCAATTCACTTTACAGTATATTCTCTAGAAGACGTGAAAAGCGCTAAATCAAATGCAAGGATTATTATTATTTATTATTACTTCCGCCACTGAAACTATCTTTTCTAATCGTTTGGCCAAATTTTTTATATTCTAATAGCCCTCAACGTTTTAACCTCTTCCATTTTAATCTCTGAGTTTATGCCCTCTTGTTTTTTTTTCATATACTAATGGGGATATGTTTCTAATATTAGTCTTCTCAAGACCTTTCACAATTATTAAGACGTCTATTAGATTCCGTCTTTACCTTCTATCTTCCTGTGAATGTACACTACAGCCTTTATGTGGCTCATGTATCCCTTCTACAATGGGTCACAAGACTCTGTACTCGAGATGGTAGAATTTGGAAGGAGGAAAATATGGTATAATAATAAATAATAATTCTTCCATTTGATAGAGCGCCTTATCACCTTGTTAAGATGTCTCAGAGCTTCACAGGTTACACTGAAAGTGGTGTGACTGGATATATTGCTGTTGTTTTGTGTCCTTAATCTATCCCTTAGATACGGGTTTGGGATTGCCACCTAGCCTCCTCCAAAATATATCTGGAGAATGGTTTCTCCCTCTAACCTTTGCAAAACTGATTTAGTACTATCTTGGTTTGGGACATAGTTGACAAAATCATTTTGGGGATTTCCAGTTGTCATGACTGTGTCACTTAAAATGTTTATTTTTTAAATTTTAAGATACTATCTGGCAAAGAAGTGCAAAATCTGCATTCTTTGTGGCCAAATGAAAGATTTTCCCAACTGATACTTTTTAAAGGTAAACTCTGTGTGAGCCTCTGTCCAAAAAAAGTAGTAACGCATGGCATATTGGAATTCAGATAAATATTTGAAGTAGTTTTGCTTTTAATTTTCCAGTAAAATATCACTTAATGCAAGAAAAATTCACACAACTACTCTAAAATGTGGGTATATATGCTCTAACTTCAACTATCTGTTTTTATAATTTGAGTAGTTGTAAAATGTGTTGTTAAAGCAAACTGACTGCAAAGTAGGCTGACTGGCAGTTAATAAAACTGAAATAAGTTAAAAGACCCTTCACAAAAGAAACCTAAGATTGCCATGACTTACACTTAGTCAACGAGAGAGACTCCCAATCAACGAGAGAGACTCCAACTTGGAATGTTTCTGTGTACCATCTCACCCTCTGTTTTCCTACAATCCGTTTTGGCTTATCTGCTTCCAATGTTTTTTGTCTTTCAAAGTGATCTGTTGCCTTTTTGGATTTCTCCCAAAAAGTTATGTGAAAGCAGCATCTGGTTTAAGCCACACTTAAGATTGCTGTTTAGTTTCACCTCCATACCTCAATTGTTATTTGATTCTGCCAGCGGGGTTTAATTTAAAGTTCTAAGCTCATTGTTTATGTTTTTTTAAATCTGTGTATAAGATAACATAGATTTTTATGACCTGAAACAAATCTACAAAGCCAATTTTATTTTGTGCACGAATGATTTACAGTCTTTTGCTGCGTGTATCGTGGTCTGATCTGAGCATGCATGATGTCATAGCTCCACCAGATGGAGAAGCATTATGTTAATTTGCCTAAACTTTGCGTGAAATATCTAATATTAGTTATACTTATAACTTGTATTTATATTAGTTATGATAGTTCATTTGGACATTTGTTGCCTTTTAAACTAATCATAGTCTTTGAATATCTGCCTCTTTCATGTCTTTTGACTTTTGCTATAGTAAATGTGTGTCTTTAATTAAATGATGAATTTTCTGACATCTTTCCAGAATTAAGTTGGATTTTTTCATTGTGTGAGAAATTGTGCTGGGATAAATTATTTCCATATGTCTATTATACAATGAATCCAGAAACCATTGACAAGGAATTCAAGAATAATTGTGTCATAAGCTATGTTAGAATTTTTATTTCCTTTTTTTTTTTGGTTTCCCAGGACCATCCATTTACAGTGACAGAATTGCAGGTGAGATTGACAGTACCTGAATTTTGTTTTGATGACTCTCACTGATGTGGTAAAGCACAATACCATAAAACTCACATAAAACTCAGTCGGGACCATAACATTTAATGTGATTCAGCAAAGTCTTGAGTTGCAGGCAATCTTGTATACATCATATAATCAATGATCTACATTGCGAATGTGTAATTCAATGCAGCCGGTAGGTGTGCATGAGTTGACGAGTCAAGACTTCGTTTCCTGCAATTCAATGCGTTGTGAAATTCAATTTCTTTGTGTTTTTGTGGGAATCTAATGTGATTTTACTCTTAAACTCCTTGATTTTCTATAGAGTTTGAAGTTAAATAGAATAGTGCTAGAATAACAACTCACCAGTTGTGACAAGTGCTTTCTAGATGATCCTCTTGATATGAAAGTTGCTTTACATGTTTGTGACGTGTTTAATTAGCAGATTGTATTTCCTGCAATCTACTTGTATGTCTAAATTAACAAGCTCATATCCACTTTTAAACATTCAAAGGAAAATGATTCAGGGCTTGCTGGAAAAATAGCTGCTTCTTATATTGTGTGGAAACATGCTGTTGCCTTAAATTTAAATTCTACAATTCTTTATTAACATTCCTAAAAGTCTGAGTGACTTGACACCTCTGTTTCACCTAAATCTGTTCCTTAGATTCCTTCTCAGTTACCCGTACCCATGAGCAATTAACAATGTTTGAGAAATATATTTTAACGATGTTTTGCCACTGTTGTGCAAAGTGTCCCATTTGCAGTTATTGCGTCAAGGATGTGTATGAGTTAGCTCTTCCGTTGACCTTGTGGGTAAAGGCAGGGGAGCACGAGGTCAGCCAGCTGAGAAAGTCTCAGGCTCAAATCCCTGTTTGGCCTGAGGTAGCAGCTTAGGGCATTACTTAAGGTGCTTCAATTGGCCTAAGTTTTAGAGGGGAAAATCTACCAGGTTTCCTGTTCCTGATCACTAATATTGAGCCCCTGCAGGAAAGTATGTGTTCAGGATGTGCACTTGGCTGTGATTGGTGCCTGCCCTCCATTGAATAGGCTGTCAAGTCTGTCAAGTTTTGTGCATGAATAATCTTACGGTAAAGTTACCTCAGTTTCACTTTCCATCATTTTCCAGTTATTCCACTAGATGGCAAGCACTGTCAAAATGAGGCATTCATTTTGAGATAAAGAATTGGGGCTAGCAGCGGTGCTAGCTCCTGTAGTTAGCCGGTGTCCATATCCAATGAGAAGAAAAAGAAGCAAGTATCCTCAGGAAAGGCTGGATGGAGAAATGGAAGAAATTCAGGGGAAATGAAAAATGTTGATATTATGAAAAGTTTAACCATATAAGAATAGTTAAAACATTAAAATGGTGGAAAACTATTGTGAAAGTGGACTGTGCAAGTAGATTGTTTTGTCACCCTACATTGCACAGCTTCACCGCTAGTCTTCAGAACCTGCTGCTTGCCCCCAGTTCGTTATGCTGAAATGAATGCCTCCTTTTCACAGCTCTTGCCATCTAGTACAACATGATGGAAGTGTACAAAACTAAGGTAACCAAGATTGGAAAGGCCTAGAGCTTAAATTAATATATTAATGATAATAATAATAATCCTTGCATTTGATATAGCGCTTTTCACATCTTCTAGATGTCTCAAAGCGCTTCACAGAATACACTATAAAGTGAATTACTTGGTAGAAAATATCTGGATTTCAATGCCAATGTAATATAGGTGGTATTTAAAGTCCATTGGTAATGTTTTTGTCAGAAAGTCGGGTGCAACATTTGAAATCTCACATTTGTAATTTGGAGTGAAATCTTGTTGGTGTTTCAGTACTTCTGTTTGATCTTCCAGGCGCATCTGGCACAGAAGACTACACTCCTTAATGATGCCCGGCTCAAAGAACAGGAGTTCGGAGAACAGGTAAAGGCAAATGATTTGTTCCCCAATTGAGCATTTTCTGTCACCACAAACATTAAATGAGATTAGTTTCTACAGATGCACACTCATTCGATTACTTTTCCTGGATTCTTCCAGATTCATTCACTTGAGGATCAGCTTAGAACCTATGAAAAGAGTTCCTATATGTCACCGCTAGGGACACCATTCAGAGGTAAGATTAAAAAGATCATTCAGTTTTACAACTACTCATATTTCTATTTTATTCTTCACGTAGGGAATTGTCTCAAAGTGTTTTACTAGGACAAGATTGGAGAGAGGGCCATAGGCACATTTGAAGAGGTAGGGTTTGAGGTAGACAAAACGAGAAGGGGTAGGTGGAGTGTAGAGGGAGTTGCCGAGGTTAGGGGTGTAGGAACTGAAGGTTCGGCCACCGATGGTCGTGACGAGGGCATTCGGTCATGCTCCTATTTCACTCCCCTTCCACCCTCCCTGCCCTCCACCTGTCCTGATGCCAACCCCCAGCTCAGGTCCTAGTGAGGGTGAGTATCTTGAAATTGATCCACTGGGAGACAGGAAGATAGTGGAGACTGGTGAGGGAACCAGGTGATGTCATGCAGAGTTTTGGTATGGGTCAGGATGCAGGAGGTGGAGTTGTGCATGAGTTGCAACTTGTGAATGGTGGATCTCGTAAGCAGTGCATTTTGAAAAACCTATGCAGCATGTGGCGAAGCGATGAATGGGTTCTTTCTCTCTCTCCACCCCCGCCTCTCTCTCCCCCCGCCTCTCTCTCCCCCCCCCCCCCCCCCCCCGCCTCTCTCTCCCCCCCCCCGCCTCTCTCTCCCCCCCCGCCTCTCTCTCCCCCCCCGCCTCTCTCTCCCCCCCCGCCTCTCTCTCCCCCCCCGCCTCTCTCTCCCCCCCGCCTCTCTCTCCCCCCCGCCTCTCTCTCCCCCCGCCTCTCTCCCTCCCCCGCCTCTCTCCCCCCCCCGCCTCTCTCCCCCCCCCCCCCGCCTCTCTTCCCCCACCTCTCCTTCCCCCTCTAATGAAATGCTAGGTTATATCAATAGGAGCATAAGAGTATAAAAGCAAACGGGTAATGCTAAACCTGGATAAATCAGGAATTAAGCTGCAATTGTCTAGTTTTTGCAACCCATTGAAGGAAGGATGTCAGGGGCATGCAATTCATTGGATACCAGGTGCTACTTATGGATAGAAATTGGAGAAACTTTCTAGAATTAGGTAAGCAGGATGTTCCCCTTCAAGGAAAGAGTGCACACTCCATTCCAACAAATTTCTCTGGGATTTCCATGTTTAGGTGTGATGCATGGAGCTCTATTTGGTTTGAATACTCTAAGCATTGTGATAGATTTCCACATGTGTTTGACACCCGCTGACCCCCGTGTTTTTTGGCTGACAAAAAAAAATTGACTGAAATAGTTGTAATTTTTGGATTTAAATGTTTTCATTGATGTCTGTCTCTCTGTGTTCATAAACAGATGTAAGTTTCAATGCCGATGGCTCCATGATAACTGAGCCGACAGAATTGGAATATTTAAAGAAAGTGCTTTATGAATACATGATGGGAAAGGAAACTAAGGTATGGCACCACTGGAAGCGTTTCTGAATGCACATACATGCAGAGACTTGTATAGTTACAGTGTCCCATTGAATTTATGCTTTCTAAAACAAATTGAAAGGTATTTACATAAAAGGTACTTGTTTTATTTTAAATCCTTTTTTCAGCTAATTTTTTTGAAATATTCTCTTACAATATTTGAGTGACAATGACCTCGAACTGTAAATGGCTATTGAGAGAGATAGCATTACCATGTTTAACGTATCAGTCATTTGTGACATTATTTCAGCTTGATAATACTTGCATTTTTTAAAAAAATTGATAATGTAAGAAGTAGTGTAAGCAGAATATTTAATGATAACAAGATCACCTGGTGGTTATAACACTCGTACAGCTGGTCTGTGAATTACTCATGTAACGCGGTATTGGCCTAATAGCTGACAATCCGTATATACACAAAAGCAGCCCATGTAAAAACTTTGCAATAGTATGTCCATCTTTGAACATGTGACCTCTTTTTCTGCCTTCTAGACATATCTAAAAGTAGTACAGTATTTAAGCTTACTTACTATCCTGTTGCATATCCTCTAGATCTCTAAAATTATGGTATGTTATCATCTGTGATATCATCTGCTGACATTTTGAACCTCATTTTTCTTGTTCAAAAATGTATTTTTAGGTCAAACCTTTTGTACATGTTAGATGGCAGCCCTGGTAGAACACACCTCTCATGTTTGGGCTTAAGTCCAGTGTGAAATAGAAAAGATACAGTACACCCAGTGACATTACTTCCAGCGTTTTGCGCACTACATATTGCAAGCTTCATTGAACTAATTTCCTGTGTACGATCCACAGGAAGTACCAATAGTGTCACTTATGTCACTTGATTTACTATTTACTTAATCTCCTCTTTACTTAATCTTCGTGGACCTGCCCTTGCCTGATTCGATTCCTATCTCTCTCACCGTCTCCACTTTGTTGGCTCCAACGGTTTCTCCTCCAGCACCCGCACTGTCACACCTGGCGTCCCCCAGGGCTCTGTCCTTGGCCCTCTCCTCTTTAATATCTACATGCTCCCCTTAGTGACATCATCCGCAGACATGGGGTCAACTTCCAAATGTATGCTGATGACATCTTTCTGCCTCCACCCTCAGCTCCAGGACCACTGCTGTCCTGACAGACTGCCTGTCGGACATCAAGTCCTGGATGAGGGCAAATTTCCTACAGTTGAATGTGAACAAGACTGAGGCCCTCCTGATTGGCTCACGCCAGTGCCTCTGCAGCTCAGGCTCTGGCAACATCAACCTCCATGGTTGCACACTACAACTCACCAAACCAGTCAGGAACCTCGGTGTCTTGTTCAGCCCTCAACTGTCTTTTCTTCCCCACATCCAAGCCATGACCCGCTCTGCCTTCCCTCATCTCCGTAACATCGCCCGACTCCACCACTACCTCACCCCTCAGGCCACTGAAACTCTTGTTCATGCCTTCATCACCTCCAGGCTCGACTATGCAAACGCTCTGCTTGTCGGCCTTCCCAACTCCTCCCTCCACAGGCTGCAGATAATCCAAAACTCTGCAGCCCGTGTCCTCTCCCGCACCAAACTCCGTGACCCCATCTCCCCCATTCTCGCCCGACTCTACTGGCTCCATATCCTTCAGAGGATCCAGTTCAAAATCCTGGTCCTCACCTACAAAGCCCTCCATGGCCTCACCCCACCCTACCTCTGCGACCTCCTAACCCCCTACCAATCCGCCCGCTCCCTCCACTCAGCCGGCTCTGGCCTGTTCCACGTCCCTGACCCACCCGCCCCACCATTGGTGGGAGAGCCTTCAGTCACTCTGCCCCCAACCTCTGGAATTCCATCCCTCAATCACTCCGCCTCACACCCTCCTTAGCCTCCCGTCTCAAAACCCTCCTCTTCGACCAAGCCATCGGTCATCCCCCTCCCTTCTCCCCCCCTGACCCCAGCTCGGGTCTGAAATGCTGTACACTGTCCAGCGCCTTGGGACGTCCTCCCAAGTATAGTGAAAGTATAGTGAAAGGCGCTATACAAATGTAATCTTATTGTTGTTTATGCTACATACAGGAAGTGACATCAGTGGCACCTCCTGCACATGGTGTTCACACCCATGACATGAGTTACGCACAGGAAGTGATGTGAGCAGACATCTGCAAACACAGATGTTGAATTTTTTGGTGCTTTGTTATTACAAGATCTCTAAGATGTTGGACCAGAATGACAGTGTGGTTGCCCTTTGCTTTCATAAATGTAATGATGCTATTCAGAGGAGCATATTCCACAGAAAATTAAATTTTTTTAACAGTTAAAATAATGTGCATATGGTTTAGATTGAGTGCATCAACAAGAATTTGTTCATAGTGTTTGAAGGAACCTGTTAGCAACATTCCAATTTCAAGTGTGCTGTGACTTCATTCAATTCATATGTCTCCTATGGAATCCAGAGAATTTTCACATGTCCAAATAATTTACTCAAATGCATCTTAGCTGAGGACTGCATTACCTTTCTAGAGATTCTGTTTTGACAATGCTGTCTTTTAAAGGGCATATTTTTCAAGTACATTTCTTTTGCATGGCATTAAATTTCCCCATCAGCAACAAATCAGCAAAGTTAGGTAATGTGTGCCATTGATTTTGTTTTTACAGTTTCTTAAGTCATTCCATTGCTGAGCTGCATTGGGGCTCTCTCCCCCCACCCCGTATGAGATTTTTACATGGGGTTTAAGTAATTGATTGTGGTGTGCTGTTTTTCTTTAGTAGGTATATCATTGATATGTTACGTTTTTAACTTTGAAGACTAAGTTTCTTTAAAATATAATTAACAGCTAGCATACAATACAATTTATCATGCGTCTTTCACATCAGAGCATGACACAACACACTTCAGGGTGCTGGATGGGCACCTGAACTGGGGGTATGAGCCAAAGGGGGTCGAGAGGGAGGAAAGATGATGAAAAGCAGGTCAAAGAGGTACATTTTGAGACAGGCTTTGATAGGAGGGATGGCGGGAGCAAGTCGGGGAATTAAGAATTAATTCCAAACAAAGGGCAGAATGACTGCAATCCCGTCTGCTGATGGTAGGGTGGATACATTGGGGGACATGAAGCCAGTGCTCGCCGAGCGAAGGGAGTGGCCAGGTCAGTTGGGGAAAGGAGGTCACAGAGGCAGGGTAGGGCGAGACGGTGGGGAGATTTAAAGGTGCAAACAAGAACCTTGAACTTGAGAACGGGTGATAAACTCACATGTGCAGGGGAGGACACAGGCATAGGAGCTTAGGAGTTAATGCGTGACGTGCTGATAGTGAACATTGCATGGCTACCATATGTGGAAGATTATGCATGGATAAGAGTTATTTGGGAATGTGTTTTCTTTACAGCTGTTGCATATCTTGGTTTTTAATACACATGACATCTCTTGTGAAGTATAGTTTTTGGCACAGTTTAAAATGTCTCATTACTCCAGTGCCTTATTTTGTATATATGTTTCATTGTGAGTAATACCAGCCATTCATTTCACATCAATTAAATGTGGTCAGATTTAACAACTTTAACACAAATAGAGAATTCTTGAGCCTGCCCCACGGCTCTTTTTGTGACTCAGTGGTGGGGATGATCTGCAAGTAGTAGGTTTCAGTGAACTTTGATAATGTGTGTATATAATGGGAACTCTCCAGTGTCAGTACCGCAGGCTAGTTGGCAAGCTACAATATTCAGCAGTTCTCTCACTGATGTGTTGTGACCTCTGGTTAGGCAACACCGCAGGGATGAAGTTCATCAGCAAAGTAAGACTGCTGGAGGCTCAGCAAATTGAATCGATTGGTAAAGCAGGTTGTCCAAAACCACAAGTGTCCAATGGAAAGAAAGTTATCATCACTTCATCTCCTCAGTACTTTGGAAGTCTAACCAATTTTTTAAGAAAAAATTCTAACTAACGAGATCAGATTCTTTTTGCAAGTTGTGAAATCTGTGAACGTCATTAATGCTGCTACCGTACCATTAACATTTTTCCATAATAGGTGCATTTTGTAAATGACTTAAGCAAGAGAAATTCTCACGTTAGATTAAATAAAATTCCCTTCCACATAGTGACTCCGCAGGTTAATCCCCTCCATACCTTGATCAAGGTTTATTTGTTCATTTTTGTGTGTGTTTGCTCAAATCATGATTGCCAATCTGTTTTCTATATCTAGAGATTGAACTTTTGGGGTAGCTGTGTCTGTACTTGGATGTTCAACAACTGAAACTTTTTTCCCTCGTATTTAGCTTTTCAGTCTTCTATAAAATTTTACTAATGTTTGTTATGACTTCAAAGCAAGATTTGGAGATCGGTTTATTTGTTCAGTCCTTTTACACTGACGGTTTAATGATCCTATCCTCATTGAAAAATCAGTGCATATTTATAGTGATGTTCAGTCTTCATTTGTAGTGTTTTTTTTGTATAAATTAATTGTGATCTGTTTTACCAATAAAAGGGAAGTCATACTTGCTGAAAGCAGTTTTATTGGTTGTAACATCTGGAAAAGGCTTGTTTCCCAGGATATGCTTGAAAAACCTGAAAGCAATTATTAATACCTGATTATGGTCAAATTTCAGTTGGTCTGGAGAATTCTCACAACTTAATAACTTACTGGAATTAACACACATACAATGTTTATATAACAAGTTACATAAATCCAGATCCTGATCAACAAACTATCCTTTTAACTTTGTGTACATAAACACCAACATTCTGCAATGTGCTTTAAAACAGTTGCCTGTGTTGGATGACAATTTATGATTGCAATTTTCAAGGGGATTGTTCTAGGAAGATCTTCATCCTTCCTCAGTAAACTGCTTCAGTAACTGTGACTACTCGATTGAGAGTTTAGGGTTTCAAGTAGATAGCTGACTTGTTTCATTCTAAGACTGGAAACCCTCGATATATTTTATGTGTCATGTCTTTTTTAAAAGTGAAGCGTGTTGAGCAGGACTAGTGTCTGAAGCCCTCAGTCGCTACCTGCCTGAAGGGTCTATATAAATTCGAGTGATTGTTGTAAAAATTGTTGCATTTTCAGAATTTCATTGCCTTTTTGTATTCCAGACATTGGCAAAAGTTATAACTACTGTGCTGAAGTTTCCAGCAGATCAGACGCAGAAAATATTAGAGCGGGAAGATTCTCGGTCCACGGTGAGATTAAGCACACTACATTATGATTATTAACTATGAATGAATGAATTTATTAAACCGATTGACCAATTGATGTACAATGTGCTGATTTTTCAAAGTAGAGTAAGGCTCTAATCTTAATTTTGATGGAAACATTTGTCACAAGGGGAAGCTAAACAGACAGTTCAGATTTAATTATTTTACACAGAAAGTTAGCAGTGTGTGTAATGGGCTACCTGGAACAGTTTTGGAGATAGATTGTCAGTGAATTCAAGAAAGAATTTGATAACCATTTGATGAATAATTCAAATGAAAGGTATAACTAGTACAGAATCATGTATTCCTTTGGGAATGGGCCAGATGGACTACAATGGTCTTTTCCAGTCCTGGACATTCCTGTGTTTCTGATAAAGATTAGATTTTAGGACTCACCTGAAAAAAAAAAATTTTGAAACCTAATCCATGAGTGGGTGCCCCCTGTTAAACTTCACTTTGATGTGAACTATATGAAATGTAACAGAAAATAAAACCCTCTTGCAGCTGCACTGCTACGTGTTAAGCGGTCCTGTCATACATATTAGCGATGTGACAATGTTATTTTATACTATATAGTCTGTTAACTGCATTTACAATTCTTCCCATCCCCCCTTCCGTTTCCTAAGGCTACATGCATCCTGTAGCTGAGAGAACAAGCAGTAGACTGATTTATTTTTATATATTAAAACATCTAGGAAATTGGGTGAAAACATGTTTGGATTATTGCCACTTCACCTCCAGGACCCAGGTTTGAATTCAGCCCAGACTGATGGATTGGAAGTCTGCGCTCCATTTTATCAATGGTCCTAAATGAAAACTGATTAAGCAATTTCAATCTCAGTGGTTCTTAAAATAACTAAATGTTCCATTCATTGCTTTAATTTGATGTGCTCAAAGTTCACAAAAAAAGCATACTACTTGAAAACTCCAGCAATATTTTTATACAAAGTTATCTCAAATTATATGAATTGCAGCAGTTATTTATGTACCATTTGCTTACACATACTTTGATAGTCGCTTCCATCATTCAATTAACCTAATGCAATTTCATCAGTAATATTGCTGCTTGTCAAATCTTGCTTGATTCACTCTGCTTCTTATTTCCCAGAATCATGGAAAGTTTACAGCACAGGAGGCTATATACTCCACTTCCATTCTTTGTTCTGTACCCTTTAACATATCCTCTATAAAAATCAACCATTTAATAACTGCTAAAACAAGAAATCTTTGTAAATTCTATAAAAATTATGTTGCAAGACTGTTACTGCCCTCAGACAAACAATTCACGCTTTACCTTCCTGGTTTACAAAAGCATCTTGATAGAAGTTAGAAGATGTTAGAAGATAGTTGAGATTAGTTCCCACAGATTCAATGGTATCCAGTGACATCTGTATAATCCATTTTCGGTTTATCTGCAGTGTACATATATGTTCTAGAGATATAAAGACAGATTGTAAGAACTTTTACAAGTATATAAAGAGGAAATAGATTAACAAAAGTAAATGTGGGTCCCTTAAAGGCAGAGACAGGAGAAATTATAATGGGGAATAAAGAAATGGCAGAGTCACTAAACAAATACTTTGCTTTTGTCTTCACGTTGGAAGATATTAATAACCAGAAATAGTGGGGAACCAAGAGACTAATGTTAGTGAGGAATTTAAAGAAATTAATGTCAGTAAAGTAATAGTACTAGAGAAATTGATGGGACTAAAAACTGATAAATCCCCTGGACCTGATGGCCTGCATCCTAAGATTTTAGGTTTTAGGTGGATGCATTGTTTTTGATCTTCCAGAATTCCCTGGATTCTGGAACTGTTCCCGTTGATTGGAAGATTGCAAATGTAACACCGTTATTTAAGAAGAGTGGAAGAGAAAAAATGGGGAATTATAGACCAATTAGTCTGACATCGGTGGTAGGGAAAATTCTAGACTCTATAATTAGGGACGTCGTCGTGGGGCACTTAGAAAATCATAATATGATTAGGCAGAGCAAAAAACCAACACGGTTTTATGAAAGAGAAATCGTGTTTAACAAATCTTTTAGAGTTTTTGAAAATGTAACTAGCAGGTTAGATAGGGGGAAAACAGTGGATATAGTGTATTTAGATTTTCAGAAGGCATTTGACAAGGTGCCACATAAAAGGTTGTTACATAAGATTAGGGCTCATGGAATTAAGGGTAATATATTACCATGGATCGAAGAATGGTTAACAGGCAGAAAACAGAGAGTAGGGATAAACGGGTCCTTCTCAGATACAGCTTAAATGAGTGGGCAAGAAGGTGGCAGAGGGAGTATAATGTGGGGAAGTGTAAAGTTATTCATCTAGGTAGAAAAAATAGGAAAGCAGATTATTTTCTAGAGGGGAGAGACTAGATAGTGTTAGTATTCAGAGGGATATAGGTGTCCAATCACAGAAAGTTAATATGCAGGTACAGCAAGCAATTAGGAAGGCTAAAAGCATGTTAGCGTTTATTGCAAAGGGGTTAGAGTACAAGAGTAGGAAAGTCTTGCTGCAATTGTATAAGGTCTTGTTGAGACCGCACCTGGAGTACTGTGTGCAGTTTTGGTCTCCTTATCTAAGAAAGGATATACTCGAGTTAGAGGGTGTGCAACATAGATTCACTAGGTTGGTTCCTGGGATGAGGGGGTTGACCTACAAGGAGAGGTTGAGTAGACTGGAATATAGAAGAATTAGAGGTGATCTTATAGAAACCTATAAGATTCTTAAGGATCTTGACAGGGTAGATAGTGTGAGATTGTTTCCCCTGGTTGGAGAATCTAAAACTAGGGGTCGTAGTCTCAGGATTAAAGGTCAGCCTGAGTTGAGAAAACTCAGTTTAGAACTGAGTTGAGAAAACATTTCTTCATTCAGAGTGTAGTGAATTTATGGATTTCTCTACCCCAGAAGGCGGTGGATGCTCAGTCATTGAACATATTCAAGACTGAGATAAATAGATTTTCAAAAACTAAAGGAATTAAGGGATATGGGGATAGGGCGGGTAAATGAATTAGGTTAGAAGATCAGCCATGATTTTATTAAATGGCGGGGCAGGTTTGAGGGCCGAATGGCCTATTCCTGCTCCTATTTCTTATGTTCAGCCGAGTTTTCAAACAATGAATTTAATTTGTCCTTTCTCCTGTTTGGGGAAGAGTGTCTTAATAAATTTTGAACAATAGTTGTCTAGACAGCATTTCATAGTGCCAGAAAATCGGGTCTCAAAATCCAATAAATAATCGTCAACCTCAGACCAATAGGATATTGCCTGATCCTCATTTGTCTTGGCACACAAATTCTTTTCATAAATGGAATTATTTTTGTAATTTAGATTGCAAGTAGACAATTAGGTTCATCTTATGCAGGCTGGCTGATTTAATGTGAGACTCAAATTAATACAACTGATGGAAATATTTTTGTGCAAAATTTGAGTTATTGGAATAGGTCTAAATAAATTACAGATGCCACAAAACATGCCCTTGTTTTCAGAAAGACGAGGATTCAAACTCAGTAACACTGTTGTCCAAGTACTGTTTAATTCTGCATGTTTCAAAGTTTCTTATACAACAATATACATTTCTATATATATATATATGTTTCATATGATTCTTTAATATAAAAGAGTATCAGATCATGCGGATAATTAAAAATGAAGTGAATATTGTGTAGGCATATGATATAGCTTGTTATAAACATACCAAATAGTTGATTATCTGTACTATTTGAGATAATGGCTGATAAGCAAACCGTGTGGATAATTGGTCATTACATAAAACACATTGGTACAATGTTAAAATACCCATGGAGTCGCATGTATCTTACCCTCGTGCTTGCGTTTGTCACCTCCCGCTTTGATTACTCAAACTCACTCCTCGCTGGCCTCCCCAGCTCCACTATTCAAAAGATCCAGCTCATTTAGAACTCTGCCGCTCGCATACTGACCTGGACCAAACTCTGTACCCACATCTCGCCAGTTCTGGCCAGGCTCCACTGGCTCCCCATCACTGAGTGGATCAACTTCAAGATCCTCATACTCGTATTCAAATCCCTTCACTCTCTGGCACCTCCCAACATCTCCGACCTCCTCACTTCCCAATCCACCACCCGGCAGCTCTGCTCACCTGGCACCAGCCTCCTGCTTGTCCCTCGCACCCTCCGCTCGACCATTGGAGGTCGCGCTTTCAGCCACTAAGCTCTGAAACTCTGGAACACTCTCCCTCAATCCCTCCGCCTTGTCCCCTCTCTCCCCTTTTTGAAGTCCCACCTGAAAACATTCCTTTTTAACCTTGTTTACGGTCACTTCCCCCCCAGCTCAGACTCAGGCCTTGCCACTGTTAAGCGCTCTGAGGTGCTACCCTGCATAGAGGGCACTATATAAGTGGAAGTTATTGTTGTTATATCTTCGGCTTGGTACCACACCAGGACAGTGCTTTATTCTCATTATTTGTTTGTGTCTCCCTGAATCTGTCTATTCTTTTGCTAGTATTCACATCTGAGCCTGGTGTAGTTAAGTGGACGGATGGATAACATAGACAATAGAATTCTTATCTGCATTTGTTGAACCTATTTGCTTTTCTTGTGCATTATTAAACTGCTTTTAAAAATTGCCACATTTTAAATTTGGAAAGTTAGAAGATTTTTTTTTGCATTTGGGATCAATTTGATATCTTCAAAATAAATGTGTGTCCAATTCTATTATAAAGAATTAAAAGTTGCTTTCATAAAAATGTTTAAAGTTGCAGCCTAATTTAAAAATGATGAATTGAAATTTATCACAAACAGACTTTCATCTCATGCTACTATACTGTGGTAAATGTTGTCCACAAAGTATAGTTTATCAACTTTACAGTATATCCTGTGAAGCGCTTTGAGATGTCTCACCAACATGATAAGGCCTTATATCAAATGAAAGGATTATTTTTAGGACTTTAATCCATACTTTTTTGAACAAGCAGGGTGGCATTGGGGATATGTGGCTAACCATTGTGTCTTTCTGGAAGGCACTTGTGTAATGGTTGCTGTGGGCAGGTTGTGATGTGTAACACTGAGATCTGTATAACTTTCTATGAAAGCTTAATTTGTTACTGCTACCTTTTGAAAGGTCAAACTTACAGGGAAACTTGCATAGATACCACCCCACAAGTCAACCAACAAATCAGAAAAACACACCCTTCTTCGATGATTAAATACAATATCACAAGCTGGATTTTGTTTTACAACAAACACACAGCATGATTCAGAAAACTTGGCAGAAAGCTTAATAGCAGACTTTGAATTGACTTTTTTTTAAATGCTATAAATTTCCTTGTTTAAAAATTCAAATAGTTTAATCTGGTGAGTCATTAGAAGCCATCCATTAAAATGGAGAGAATTTATATCTTATAAACAGTTGCTGTTCAGAAAGGTATTCTGTTTACAAAAATAGAAAGGCCTTCAGACCTATTTACCATGCTGCCTGAAACATTTAATGTCCCATTATATCAACGTGTGATGTTAGATCTGAGTGGGTTTTAAAATTTATTCTGTGGAGATGTAAAATGGTTGCTATTTTCTATTAAAACCTAAGTTGGAACGGTTACTTAACTAAAACCTGTTAAATATTGGCAGGAGATGTTTAACCAAGGAATGCTTTCTCCTCTAATATTTAACAACTCCTAATATTTTACCGCTGAAATACAATCTTATTTTAGTAAAGTACCAGAAAACATTACCAAATCCATCAGTGGGTGTTCAGTGCTTCACTGAACTCATTAATGGGTACCTGGTGCTTTCACTGAACCCTTCACAAGTCCATTCTTCATGTGTGAACCTAAATGATGAAGCGCTCCAAAAAATGCATGGTTTTGTCGATGAATGACCATGGAGGGCATTACAGCTGAGTGCAATCTTGTCCCTGTTCAATGTTAACCCTCTTACATTTTCCAACACCACATGATGATTGAGGAGTGAGGGAAGTATGGAGCCAGCCCTGATTTTCTTATATATCCTCCTAACCAGAACCACTAGGCCAATTTTAGCACCCCTCCTGCTACCCCTTCTGCAACTGACTGACTCAGCAGAGTCCAGGGATTGAACCTGCAATTTCCCACGTCTGTAAGGCTCTTTATGGAATGGCTTCACCAGCTGAGCAGTCAGAGTGTTTGTTACACATTTCATGTTCATACAGAGCACGTACGTAGATTTTACCACATTTTGAAATTACCGAGTTATTTTCATTACACTTCTTAATTCAGCATCCGTACTGGACTAATGTGAATTTTCCTACTAACCGCATAGCTTTTCCAAATAAGACTGACGATTTACAGATCATTTTAACGTTAAGTTTCATTTGTTTTTGTTTTGCTTTCTTAAGCGTTTCGCCCACAAATATACAGTCAATTCACTTTACAGTCTATTCTGTGAAGCTCTTTGAGACGTCTACAAGACATGAAAAGCCCTACATCAAATGCAAGGATTATTATTATTTCCACTCAGAACTTGATTTAGATTACCCATACACAGACTTTCATCCTCACACACCCAGAGATGAAAGGGCATTGTGCTAACCCACTATACACCAGGTCCAACTTGACAAACAAATATAAGTGAATACGTTCACTATTAAAACTGTTATGATGCATGACCAACCAATTCAATCATAATAACAATGAAGGTGCTTGAAAATAGTCAGGGCAGTGCTTTCTGTTCATAATACTCACATTTCTCCTTTCTTTAATATAGAGATATAGATATAAGGTTATGTAACACCTGGTTTCCAGGTTAGGGTTAGCTTCTTGGAGACGGGGGTTTCATATTTCATCAGCCTTGAGAGTTGCATGACTTCACTGGGAGCATGTGTTTCAGAGCAGCCTTTTGAGTTAGCAACATTAAAAAAAATTAAAATTACATTTGAAAATCTTAGACGATGGATCGGCAGTAATAATATTTTGTGCTTTGGAGTGCAGAGCAGTTAATAAAATTAAACTATTTTTAAATCTTCAGAATGTTTGATAAACTTCCCATTGCAATCAATATATTGAGAGATGTACCAATACGTTGAAAGATGCACATAACCAATCTGTTGCACGGTTATAACAATTGGCTACGTTAACACTGTGAGGAGCAAATTAGAATGAGAACAAGATCTTATGCAGCATCAATTTGAAATCTTTAGAGGGAGATGAGAGATGCTTGGGAATAAACAATATTAAGGACTTAGTGCAAGGCTCGGAAATAAAATTAAATGATCTGCTTGATCTAATAAAATGTGGATCCGTCATCACATGCTGAATGGCCTCCTCAAGTCACTCTGGATGAATGCTCCATTTTAAAAAAAAGCTCAATTGCTTAACATCCATTTTGTTTCATAACACTTAGCATATAATAGTTTGGTTGACTGGCTTTTCAGAGAAAATTTGATGTTCATAAATAAATGGTAACTTCAAGAATGACTAAATCACCTCGTAGAATATCATGCTTGGCCCTATTAGGGGTTAGTAAACCAGCATTCAGGTCAATCCAAAACAAGCTGAGCCACTGTAACAAGTGGAATTAGGAGACAAAATCTGTTTTTTAATTCACATTTTTATCACTTCATTTTTTTTTACATTAAACCAGTTAAATGTCCAGCAGTGTGAAGTGTTTGGACTAGTCATTGAATATTTAGAACCTTATTTTACATTGGCTGAGAGGTAATGCACCCTCCACCATGCTACATTTTTTTAAAAGTAAATAGAGCATGTTCAGCGAACTAGTTTGAGCTGTGTAGCCGCCTGTTTGCAATTCAGACCATTTACCCCTTTTTTTGGCAAGGTTAGATGCTGGTTTAATAAACCTTAAGATTCTTCATATGTGAATATAATGCCTCTCTGGTTGCTTTAGATTGCTTTTAGTTTTATCACATGCATTTTCTATGGAATTGTGTGTATATTTTGCTTATCTAATCAAATCAATTTGCTAATTTCCCTCTTGGCTCTGTAGTATGCGTCATCTCACTCTGGTATCTTCTGAGAGTTGGCTGGTGGTGTAGTCACTTTAGCATGTGGGTGAGTGATGTCTTTTGTTCGTCTGTAGTTTTTGTGCTTTTTAAATTTGTTATTAAATTGTTCCATTAACCGATTAATCCTGCTAAATGTCATATCGCCACTCTAACTCTTGCATTTCATTGTCTAACAGTGGGAGTGTTGTGCTTCATCAGCTAACAGTGACACTGCTAAAGAGCAGGCCATTTCATACTGCTCAATGGGCTTATTCTGTTCCTTTCTATTAAAATATTCCATAGCCCATATATAGTTTTCACTGTATAGATTTTATTAATTCCATTTTATCTCCTGAGTGAGGTCAAGAAAATGACGGGGTATAAAATGCAGAATTTCTGAAGGAATTCCTTAATAGAAGTTCCACAAATAGAAACTCCTTCCAGTAACTATAATATATCACACAAACCCATGGGAACTCTAATCCAGTGGATCTATTTACAGAGCAAAATTTCCTGCAGGTTGTCAGGAATTCTAAACCCGTGTTCCAGAGTCCAATATGTAATCATGCTTCCTATTGTTTCAACCAAAATAGTTAAATTACCAATACCTCTTTAATGAGGTTCAGCATATTTATTTTTATTTAAGTACCTGTTAAAGAAATATCTCAAATGGTTGACGCAAATAAACCACTTTAAAATAATCACCAGTAGGATGATAAAACCTAGTAGAATTATAAAACATACTAACTGTACTGTTTGGACATAACAAAAAAACTGTTAGGAACTAGGATCTGTGATTTTAGTGAGGACATTTCAGCCTCTGGTTATACTACCATTAGAACATTGTGTTGATGTATGAACTTCAACACTTCATTGAATTACTCGTAATGGAACTGTTGCACAACGTTTTCTGGAAATGTGCAATGTTATGGTGTAATCAGAAACCTTTTACTAAGCTTTTGTTTAACGTTAACCGTTAGTCATGTTGATTAAATTAGCAAGATCACTTAATTATATTGGAAAGTATTTCCACATTAAGTTCTGTGAAATAAAAATTTCTAACATTTCAAGACTTTTTTCCTTTTTTTTTCAGACTTGGCTGGTTTAATCGACAAATTTCTAAAAAAAAAATCGAACTGATCCTTAATAATGCTGCTTGGATGTTATTTATCTCATTGCCGAGAGTGGGGAGAAGGGAAGTACTGTTGTCAAGATGTTTCTAAGGCCTTTTACTGTGATTTGTACACAATCTGAAATGGAAATAATATTCTGATCTTAACTAGTAGATTGTTAAATGGCACTAGGATAAATTGTGCAATAAATTTCTTGAATGGAATATCGGCTGTTAATGAACACTGTTAATCTTTAACTGGAATGCTTCTTTCTGTATAGCTTGACTTTTTTTTCCCTCCAACGTCATATCTTTGAAGCTTCGGCCTCTAACACTGAATCGCAGTACCTCGTTTGTTTACTATAGCTTTTGTACTTATATTTTGAAAAGACACTACTGTAAATTGTAAATACGATTCATAATCTCTACAGTAAGCAGAACTGTAACTCGCAACATTCACCTGGAGGAGTGAAATAAAAATTTATTTACTGTATTACCACGGTGTCTGTATTTTACTAGCCTATTTGTCTATAAATGTATTTGAGAGACCTCCCTGTGTGGTATTTTCTAACCACTTTCAATAGCAGTATTGCCCTTCCTTAGATTTGATAATCTCACATGGGACATTTCCTCCAAATGTGAAGTTTAGAAGCTTTAAAATAACTTGCCAGTAAATCTTGATGTCCAGTCTAGTTTCCTGTGTTGGGTTTTCAAGTGTTCTGGGAAGCTGTCTCACATGAAGCGCACTATATAAAAACAAGTTGTTGTTGTCAATATAGTGGCTTGTGAGTTGAAACAATTGTTTAGTTACTGTACTATTTTAAATTCTACAGCCCATTCATCTTGGCTTTTTTTTGGTCAGCCAGGCGCCTGACACATTTGGAAACCCATCACCATACTTAAAGAGTATGTAAACCAAACAGAGTTTTGTGCATCTGACCTATAATTGCAAATACTAGACCTGGAGTCCTGTAGCTCAGTGGTTGGAGCACTCGCTTTGCAAGCAAGAGACCTGAGTTCAATTCCAGGCAGGTCAGGGCGAAACCTTGGGCAAGTTTCCTTACTCCACACGCCTAATAATAATCGCTCCAAAACTAAAAACAATAATAAATTGGTCATTTTCAATCTACGACTGTTTGTGGGACATTGCTGTGCGCAATTGGCTGCCGCGTTTGCCCACAAATATACAGTCAATTCACTTTACAGTGTGTTCTGTGAAGCGCTTTGGGACGTCCTCCCTACGTGAAAAGCGCAATGTCAAATGCAAGGATTATTATTATTATATTATTATATTATTTGTTGGAATGGATGTGCACTCTCTCCCTGCGGGGAAGCATCCTGCTTACCCAATGCGGAAAGTATTAGGCACAGGCTGGCAAGGACCAAAGATTGGGGACCCCAAAGTGTGCATTAGGGTACTGTTAAAGAAGAGAAATAGCTTGCTGTTCAGAGCACTGTCTGGCAAGCTTTCTCACCCCTTATTTAGTTATGACCACTCTAGCCATTAACGGCTTTGGTTTGTAGAGTTTGCAGGAGCTGAGTGGGAAGAGTCCCTGTCCCCAGTGACTGGTCTGCCCTTCCAAGTCCTGCCAATGAGCCAGGCTGGCTGTGCTGTTATCATTGGGTGCCCTGAAGTAATGTGGTCCTGTCTGGCTGAAGAACTGGATACCTAGACTGCCAGAGGGTTGGCTCGATTCCAACATTCCATTGTCAAACATGTCATCTTCAGATGAACAAGAGAATTTCCGTACCTCTGAAGATCATATTGGAATTTTACTCTGAAATAAGACCAACACTTTTTCACCATAAAGTTGTGGTGGGTGGGGAGAGGGGAGTTTCAATTAACTCTCAAGAGTTCAAAAGTCACACTTCGACTGAGAATATTGCTTGTGTCTTGCGGTATTGTGTTTCTAAGACTGAATCTTTCTGTGAGGCCAAATAGCTCCTCCTGTTTAAGATAGATAAATCAGGTTGAAAAGCATGAAGCATTTCCTCTCTATAGGAAATGGGCCGTTGTTTAATCTTGCTGTACGCTTCCGGTGGTAAATTTCTCCTGGAGCTGATTGAGGAATAATCATCCTGCAAAGTGGTGATATACTGAGCAGCATGGTTTCAAATTGCACATCTCCAGAGTTTCTAAGACTAAAGTACCTCAGGAGGGGAAAATATTGAGCATTTTTTGTCGTTAGCCAGCAAAATGTTTTTGCAATAATCTTTGTAGAAATGTAATGTACTCTGCAGCAGTGTGCCGTTAAATTATCAAAATCTCCACACACTCAAAGAATACCTACAAATACACTACACTTTACAATGTATATTGTAAAGCTCTTTGAGATGGCCTCCCGATGTGATACCTCCAAATTAAACACAATGTTTATTGAACAGGATTTTAGCCAGCTTTATAATCCAATGAAATGTTGATCCTTTTGATGTGTTTTTAACATGCACTAGCAAGCTTCAGAAGTTATATCTGATGAGGTGGCAGTACAGTATGACATCACTTTGTAAAGAGATGTAAATTATATAAGTTGTGTCATTTCTCCTCAAAACTGCCAGAAATCCTCAATGATCTGAACTTGGGAGTTCAGTTTTAATGGTTTACAACCTAATCTGCCACAAATATTTGACTAAAGTTTACACAAGCTTCTTAATAAATACTTTTACCCTGCATGTAAACAGAGGAGGTTACTTAAGGGTCTAATTGAAAGATTTGTAATAGGATTTGCACGTATTGAATCTTTGAATGCATCTGGGTAGCTAACACATGAGAAACCATATCCAAATCAGTCTGAGTTACACATATGCATACCACCTACGCATGAAAATTGCCCTATGTCTGAATGAACTCTCTCTCCCTAGAGGAACACACGCAACTTATTTAATTTCAGAATACATTAGAATACATTTCATTGGATTATCAAGAACACATTAAGTGCAGAGAGCCAAGGCTTGGCATCTCTAGAGTACGTGTTGCATAGTTTGCCATTAAGAGCAGTCAGTGTCTGGCAAGCATCCCATTACTAGGACCACCTTCCCATTGGGACTTTAGCTTGAGAGTCAACAGGAGCTGAGAATCCCTGACTGGGTCTGCCCTTCCAAGTCCTGCCAGTGGATTATCATCAGCAGTGCCCTGTAATACTACGGACTGACCTGGCTCAGCAACTGAACTACTGAATATTCTTCTCAATGGCCACGTCTCAGAATCTGACTCTTGCACATATTAGCCTGCTGATTAGCAGGAGACTTACTCAACTGAAGAAACTCAGAGTAAAGCTACAAAACTTTTTGTCCAATACTGTGACCCTGAGGCTCATCACATAGCTGCTTCCCAGGTGCAATCAGTGAGAAGGGTGTTGGGAAGGACGGGGTGAGTCTGCAGGGTCGAGTCATTGCAATACATTATTATAAGCTGTTAACGTTTGGTATCTTTAGCTTGTGCCTATTGAGAGATAAGCGCAGTATGTTTTCACTCTAATTCTGACGAAATGTTTCTGTTTATATAATAATACACAATGATGGCTCTCGTCGCATCTGTTTTTACAAGATTGGAATGAATAGAATTCCAGATTGCACCCAAGTGCTTTTCTGATCCTGTATATTAAGGTTACTCCGACTTTAGTGCTAAAACAGTGTTAGGATCTTGCAGGAATTGTCAGTTGACTGCATGGACTTCATGAGAAAGGCAAAGATGAAGATGGTTTGCAAAAGGCAACTCCTTTAATTGTTAACGTTTTCTCTTTTTTGCTGATAAAATATATATCTCTTGTTATTTGTTCTTTAATAGATTTTGTAAGTACTGTAACTTGTTAGGGACAGATTCATAAGCCTTTATTCATAGGCGTTAAGTATATTAAAGACACACAAGCAAAGATTGTCAGACAAATAAGCCAACAGATCAAACTCTGTCACAGGAACAGTTTTTGATCAAGAAAAACTGATCATTGACAGGTGTTGGAAGATGATAGAAAAGGGAGAGACAATCTAGTAGAATTGGAAAAGAAAAGCAAAAAGGAAATGGAAACAATATAAGAGGAACTTGTATAAGAAAGAACTTGTATTCTTTGTATCTTATCATTTCGAAACATCTCAAAGTGCTATTTACTGTCAAGGGTAATCACTTTTCTGTAGTTAAACATAACCATTGCACTGGCAAATTACTGTACTCCATACAATCTGGAAGTCAAAGTGTAAGAAATGATGAAAGAAGCTGGCGGGACAGCACAGTTGAAGAGGGAAAGCGAGAGGCAGGAAGGGGGGTCTCTGAGGTAACAAATCAGGTAGCGAAGATTCTTTAAAGATTAGAGTAAATCAATGGAGACTGGAAAATAAACAACACCGGGTCAAATATGTTCAAGAAGTACGAGATTGACCAAAGCAACAAGAAAGGTTGAAGGTCCCACAAACAATTGTAAGGATGTTACAGATTCTTGAAATAACTCACTAATATATCTCCCATTTCAACCAAGCTCCCCTAACAATTTTTTTTGGTCACACGCCTGACACAGCGAAGCACTTTGAGACGTCTCAAAGACGTGACAAAGCATTATATCAAATGCAAGATTATTATTATGAGGAAACCCATGCACCCCACTTACAAATGGAAATTCCAGAGGTATGTGTTCGTATGGAATGCGCACTCCCTGGAAGGTCGCATCCTGTTTACCTAATTCTGGAAAGTATTAGGCGCAGGTTGGCAAGAGCAAAGTCTCGGAGACCCCAGGGAGTGTGTTGGGGTACTGCTGGAGTCCAACCAGCTAAAACTTCATAACTTACCATTGATATCACTGTCTGGCAAGCTGCTCATCCAGCTAAGACCACCCTACCCATCTGGGCTTTGGCTTGCATGGTTAACAGGAGCTGAGTTAACCCTGCCCCTAGTGACTGGTCTGTTGTTCCAGGTCCTGCCAATGAGCCAGGCTGGCTGTGCTGTCATCAGCAGTGCCCTGGAATCTGCGGACCCACCTGGCTCAGGAACCGGGCTACTGAGACCACCACAGAGGATTGGCTCGATTCCGACATTCCATTGCCAAGCAAGTCACCTTGGAGCCAGTTCAACTCCAAGGAGACTAGTTGTCCCCTAACAACTGGTCTTAGCTTCAATAATAATAATCCTTGCATTTGGTATAGTGCCTTATTACGTTTTCTAGACTTCTCAAAGCGCTTCACAGAATATACTGTAAAGTGAATTGACCATATGTTTTTTGAGCAAAACGTGGCAACCAATTGCACACAGCAGTGTTCCTGGCTCTGGTACCACCTTTGATCCATCCTCGGACATTGAAAGTGAGGCAGAAGACTCCAATTTTGAGAGCCTTAGCAAGGATCCCTCATCCCATCAGTTCCGTAGGATAGAATGAAGCTTGAACAACTATAGAGGGAAATATTCAGAGGTACAAACTATTAAAATGTATTATTTCCAATTCATTACATCTTTGTAATGAATTGGAATGATGATGTGGAATGCAGCAAATACATAGCTTCAAATAACCTGGG